CTTTAATTCCCACTTTAGTCTCTGGGTAATATTGTAAATATTGTTTAAAAAAAATGCATCAGCCTGTGCTATACAATCTGAATGTTATTTTAACTTATAGTTTTGTTTTTTATATTTAACTAAATGGACAGTTTGGGGCTCAAAGTTACCACATTGACTTCCGCTTCCCTATTTACAGAAAGTTTACATTAAAACTGCCACCTATTGTCTCATTTACAGCAACGTGTACTTGACATGCAAAAGAGAACATGCCAAGATTGCCTCTTTCTTCACTGATAGTGACAAAAGAGTTTTAATCTGTATAAGAAAAAATAATTTGGCAACGTAATTTAAGTACATTTATTAGTCAAATGGGTCAAACTTGTAAACTCAAAAGCATTTTTATAACTTAACTGTAGACAGCAAATATTACCATGCAAGTGGACTGTAATATTGGCATGTTCTCTTTGATGTTTTTCTAGTAATAGACCTGCTTCTTAGCAATATTAGAAGTGTTTTATAAAAGCAGTTCATGTTACTTTTCTGGTCTATTCATGGCATATGATCAAATAAACTATTTACACTACTATACGATAATCCATGGTTCTTTGGTGTGTTTATACTACTATTTTATGCAGAGCTTGCTAGCAAATGGATCATGAGTATGATGATGGAACAACTTATTCTTACAGAAATAATTGTCTGATATCTGCAGTTTATCAACAGAGACGGGGGGGGGGGGGGTTTTACAAATTCCAAGTTTTCTCACCAGCTTCTGCCCTGTGCCACAACTTTCTGCAAAACCTAAGGTTTCTTATCCTATGATTCTGTATTTTTGTTTTGACGAGAAACACTGCACAACAAATCCTGCTTAACCTAGCTTCCCAGACAAATAATAGTAATGGCAAAAATGGAAAGGAATCTCACCCACACAGCACTCCACTCTGTGAAGCCATGATTGGTCCCCTTTCCATACTAATGTTATTAAACATAGGCAATATAAAGTCAAGGCAGGTGGAGGCAAGGCACTCATTAGAAACCTTGAACATTGCTAATTTTCTCCATTCAAGTCAGTGGACTTACACCAGGAAGGAATTAAGACCATTTTCTCTGTGTTCTTCACCTTAGAACTCCTTTTCACAAGAGTGTGTTTTGCCAATTTTTTCTACCACACAACAGTTTCTTAGGACCCTGGCTGGGTTGGAAGAATACAAAGTTCTTGGGTCCTTTCATGGCTTGAAAAAAACATATCTCCTCTTTTGTAGCAACTGCAAATATGATGAACAGAGGCCACTTTTTTTTTTTTTTTTTTTTTAAAACAGAGAGTGGAGGTAATATTAAGTCACAAGACCTGCATTTTGCCACTGAAGACTCTCAGAAACTACTTCTGCAATATCCTGTCCAAAAAAAACCATGGTTTACGCAGAAGTAAAATTCACCAGTAAACTATTCAGTTAAATCTGCTAAATCTAGCCTCTTGTCCTGGTTCTGGCATTACAATAATCACAGAAAAGTTTCTACTCTAACAGTCCCAAGATCAATGAACAAAGGAGGAAGTTCCTAGAATACTTTTCATACAGCATTTTCCTCTCAAAACACAGAATCTCTGAGTAAGAGTAATAGTGTACAAAACCCCTCCATATCATTTAACATTTACAAACTCTTAGCCCATGTCCTCGCACCCCTCCATTCAGACCTCATTAAATCTCCACTTAGGGCTTGTGAATGGGGGAGAGGGGGGCCTCCATTTTTAATTTACAAAAAATATACATTCTTTGGCTTGCAGCAAAGAGATCCCAAATCTGTCGATTTTAATGTAAGAGTTTAAAAAAATATATTTAAAGTAAAAAGAAAGAGTGACTAAGGCAGTATTTGTCTTTAGTCTGATCTACACAGATTTTGTACCCCTTTAACTCTATAGGTATAGATCGGGGTAGGCAACCTATGGCACACGTGCCAAAGGCGGCACGCAAGCTGATTTTCAGTGACACTCACACTGCCCGGGTCCTGGCCCCCGGTCCAGTGGGCTCTGCATTTTAATTTAAATGAAGCTTCTTAAACATTTTAAAAACCTTATTTACATACAACAATAGTTTAGTTATATATTATAGACTTATAGAAAGAGGCCTTCTGAAAACATTAAAATATATTACTGGCATGTGAAACTTTAAATTAGAGTGAATAAATGAAGACTCGGCACACCACTTCTGAACGGTTGCTGACCCCTGGTATAGAATCTACTATATAGTAAAGCAGTATACAATTCTCTAGTATGCTTGTAGATAAACTAGTATAAAGTCCTTCTAGCTGCATAACTTATTTCCAATCTAACTGCCTCGTGCTATGGGGTTGTACTGCTTTATAGAATCATAGAATCTCAGGGTTGGAAGGGACCTCAGGAGGTCATCTAGTTCAACCCCCTGCTCAAAGCAGGACCAATCCCCAGACTGATTTTTGCCTCAGATCCCTAAATGGCCCCCTCAAGGATTGAACTCACAACTCTGGGTTTAGCAGGCCAATGCTCAAACCACTGAGCTATCCCTCCTCTGTTTTTAACCCAAGTACAAAACTGTACTCTAAAACAAGGAAATGAGATTATAGTAAGGACACATTACTATTCTGGGAAATATAATCAATATACAATATGGTTATTTTATAAGCACTTCTACTTTTCAATATAGGTGTACCATAAGTAAAAATGTAAGGTAGTTTTTTGTTTATCAGTCACTAATTTTCATAAGTCTTACCCTGGTCTAACTTCCTTGATAAACATTTCAAATCCTACACCTTTTGATTAACAAGCATTTCTTATTGCAGTACAATTGATAATAGATCTTGAGACACAGTCATATAAAAGAAAAAGAATTTGCTTTTCTCAGCACTTTCATGCATAGTTCCAGCTGCTCTTTGAATATAAGGTTTGTATTTACCAAGGCTTAGCTCCCTCACCAGCAATCTATATCCTGTGAAGAGATTTAATTAATATCTGAATAAGAAAAAAAAATCACAACACCTAAACAGATAATTTACCCCCATGACTTTTTTCCTTCCCTTCTTCCCCCATCTCAAAAGAAGATTTTTAGTGATGCCAGGCAAAAATTCATTATGAGAAATACACTGCAAAAGAATAAAAGATGTGTGTAAATAGATGTGCTACAATATTTCTGCAGCAAAATTTAATCTAATAAGAAGAATAAAATGGCAGACAAGTTATTTATGGTGGTGGTGAATAAATTATGCCATAAATGTAGTAAGCAGCGTAAGTGATAACACAATTTAACAAAATATTGCAAAGCTCAAATTTAAGAGAACAAATCTTGTAACCAAACCTTAGATTTAAATTTTTGAAAAGGGTTTAACAAATACAAAACAAAATGGGAAGAAGGGGTGGATTCAAGATAGCCTTGCAGAATATGCAACCCAAGCACCACACCATTAAAGCTAGTGCTTGGGATTCAAGTGAAACGGACTACAAACAGGAAAGCTAACTTTCAGTCCAACCTGAGCATTGTGCAAAAGAGACAAATTGCAAATCAAACACTGATTAGTATTTTAAACATTCTTTGTTTTAGTAATCAATAGCATTATTAATAAAAGGAAAACTAAATTTATTTTGCCAGTAATCCCTTTAATTTCAAGACAACTACAGAATCTGAAATCAAGGGGTTGTGGTGCCTTTTGAGAAGGAAAAAAGACAGACTGAATTTTGTTGTTGCTGTTTGAGTAGACAGAAATACCCAGGGGCAGAACACTTCCTATCACACAAGGAAGGAGCAGTCCCATCCATTGAAAAACATGAGGCTGCAAAACTTTTTTTGAGGGAGGGAGGAGAAAAATACTTTTTTCCCCTCAAGATTAGAAAACAAGCTGTGCCTTGCCAAAACAGGATTTAAATGAGATTGTATTTCCTATTGGGATGGTTTTTGCAAGATCTGATTGAGAAATACAAAAGAGATACATTCCATTAGAATAATTTACAGTTACATTTTTTATTTTTAATGGAAAAATAAAGACAAACCTTTTAAAAGTAATATTTACTTAGAAACATGTTTCTTCATGTAAATTATGCTAGGCAATAAAAGTATTTTACACAAATTCTAATGTGTTTTCAAAACCATTATTACCTGTCAAAAATTCTAAACTAATTTGCTACCTTTAAACATTTCCTCAAATCTCTGTCAATGTAAAACCAAATATTAGACATGATGAACTGTGTACTGCGTACTATCACCCCCAAATGGTGTGTTTGGTTTTGTTTTTTACTATAGAGTTAACCTAATTGCTACAATACCAATGTATTTGCTTTTTTAAAATATAAACACAGGGAAGTGAATTTTACAAGGTTAGCAAAATATATATATTTAAAATCTAACTGATTTTATATAGCCATATACCCATGATCAGCGCTCAATTCCTGACACACAGACTAACCTGCAACTTTCCACACTTTGAATAGTTGCTGGGCATGGTGCAGAAATATGGAACAGTCCCACTGCCAACATTTTAGTTCATTTGCAGTTTTTTGGATATTTAGCATGAAACATTTTATTATATATAAAATACAATTTATTAGAATTCTTTACCTCAAACCCTACCTTGGCAAAAGTCGTATAAGGTATTCTTCAGTAAGGAGTGATTCACAGGTATGTTAGGTAGTGATGGATGACTAGCATTTGTTATGTTAGATGTGTATACTGAATATTCTTAAATAAAAAAACCTGTCATTTCCTTCTGAATATAGCAGACCAAATATGTCTCTCACAAATATTTTCTTTCAATTGAAAAGTTTCAGTCTCAAAGAGCAACCTTAAAAAGTGTGACTCATTTACCCATCCTACTGAAAATATTCTGTGTGAATGCTGCAGTTCTAGGCTTTGATCTTAAATGGGCTTTTTAGGCATTCATGTACTGGTAACGTGTGTCATATGTATTAGAAAAAGGGATTAATACACTGAAAAGGAAGCTAAACTCTGTGCACAGTCTTCAAAATAAAAATTGAGTGAACACATGTTGCTTATTCCATCAATCATAGATAGCAGTTATTTCTATTAGAGCTGTACAGAGTATTTAAAACTAGAAATAAATACCAGTACACGCTAGAGGACAAAATTTAATAATTGATAAAAATGTACAAAAATATTCAAATCAGAAAGGTTTCAGAATGTGTACCACAGTAGTCAATACTTGTCACTGAATAGGGAAAGTAGAACTTTTCCTCAAAGCAAAACTGGTCAGAGGCTACCAAAAGGGGGGTGGGGGGTGGAAGCTGAATTTTTAAAAACAATACTAGGTTTTTTTTTTGTTTGTTTGTTTTTAAAGAAAAGGTTTAGAATAACATTGATTTTCTACATTAATATTGCAACTGCTATTTAAAATTTGGTGGTACATTCTTCAGCAGGTCCTTAAGGCAACATATTGAAATTAATTTATCATTTGATTTTATGTTAAATTTTCTTATCAAGATAAATGCTGAAATAATGCCCTCAGCCATTTTAATATATATGTCAGGTTTTACTTTAATAAAAATGGTGGCTATTTTACAGCAGCGCCCTCTAGTGCCACTGTAATGAAAGGCCTAGCAGATTTCCATCATAAACACCTATTTGTAAGGGTTTAAAACTTTACCATAAAAATTCACTCCAAGATGAAACTTGACATAGAAAGTCTCAGCCAGGAAGTCACATTTTTTGTTTAATACAAATTATCAAAACCATAAGTTTGGCCAGTAATGTAGTGCACAAAAAAAGCAATTTATGTTTCTGGTGCTTCTCTGTACTACAATAAATCAAGAAATGGATTCATTATTCCCTCTCCATTTCCCTCCTCCTGCCAAAAAAACAAAACAAAACAAAAAAAACACACAAAGACAAATAAACCACAAGAAACTACATTTTGAATCTTTCCAAAAAGGAAATTTAGCTTGTCTCCACTGGCCTGTAAAAGCAGGTTTAGCACCTTTCCAGAAAGAACTGTTTAAGACATGGATTGCTAGAAAAGTGCTAATACTTTCCCTGGCCAGAGTAGGCAGGACCCAGAGTCAGAAGTGAAACAACTTCCATTCATCAAAGGGCTCTAGGGTGTACAGAATATATATGCTTCCTAGCAAGTCAAGAACAGAACTTCAACTTTAACTCTGAATTTCCTCTGTTTTTTCTAGATTTGATGCCAGGCCCCATAATGATATTACTTGAATGCATTTTTTTATGCAGTATCATTAAAACCCACTGTTATTTCAACAATGGAACTCAGAATATCAGAACTCATGTCCTGAATTAGACATCAGTTTCTTTTATTAAATCCTACTGTAAATGTATTTGGTATAAATAATGTTCTTATTGATCTTCATCCAGTTGTTCCAAGAGGGTTCTTCTCTGTTTTTCTAATTCCCCTTCGCTCAGTTCACTCCCAGATGTATCCCAATTACCCTGCAAAGAAATGTAACCATTATGACAAGAACACACTGTAATTCACCCACAGCAGCTATTGCATGTGTTCCAATACCGCTTTCTGGCCTTCATTAGGAAATACAGTAACTCCTCACTTAACATCCTCCCGCTTAACGTTGTTTCGAAGTTACATTGCTGCTCCATTAGGGAACATACTCGTTTAAAGTTGTGCAATGCTTTCTTATAACGTCGTTTGGCTGACTTTACAAGGGAGCATTGCACAAGTTCCTCTTCTCCGCCTCCTCCCCCTACCTTCCTCCCTCCCTCCCAGCGCTTCCCCTGCCGCCAAACACCTGTTTGGCGGCGTTTAGGACTTTCTGAGAGGGAGGAACGGAGGGAGCGAGCAGGGAAGCTGCTCCCTCCCCCCCCCTCCCCGGCAGGCAGGGCCACCCAGAACACAGGGGCTTTAGGGGCTCCAGCCTGCAGCTCTAAAGCCCCTTTCGGAATGCGGCCCTGCGAGCACAGGCTGGAGGACTCAGGAGGAGCAGGGGCAGCCGCGCAGCCAGCAGCCGGAGAGAAGCGGCACTTTCCCCTTCAAAGCCGGCTGGTGAGAGAGGGGGGGAGCAAGCTCCCAGAATTGCGGCCATGGGGGCAGTGCCGCGCTGCGCAGAGCCACCTGCACACCCCCTGCATCAAACAGGAGCTGCCCCAGGTAAGTGCTCTGCACCTCCTGCCTGCTCCAGCCCTGAGCCTCCTACCCCACCCCCCACCCTGAGCGCCCTTCCGCACCCTAACTCCCTCCAAGACCCTGCACCCCCACCCTGAGCGTCCTCCCACACCCTAACTCCCTCCCAGACCCTGCACCCCCAGCCCTGAGCCCCAGGGGCACCTCCCCACTACAGTACAGCACTGTACAGTATATAATGCCTTTTGTCTGCCCCAAAAAAATTTCCTTGGAACCTAACCTCCCGCATTTACATTAAATCTTATGGGAAAATTGGATTCATTTAACATTGTTTCACTTAAAGTTGCATTTTTCAGGAACATAACTACATTAAGTGAGGAGTTACTGTATAGCCAGCAAATCAAGGGAATACATTCCATATTTAAAGGAACTGACAAGTGAAGCAATATAACATGAAAACATTTGTTGAATTCTAATCCTACATCCCTCAGAGCAATATGCGATATACTTGTGTGCAACTGTTCTCAGACTATAAGCATCCCAAGGAGGGTCTAACACTAGATTTCTTGTCACAAATTTTTCATAACTGCTACCAATATTGGTAGCAACAGTGAAAGCATTGGAGTAGACAATATTCTAGGTGACAGCTTGTGTTTTAACCACCTTGTTGTCTAACCCTGCTCTGAGCAGGTCTTCACAACATAGTGTTTAGTACTAGACTTGGGCCATAGTTTTCTCCAAAAAATGCAGATTCAGCAACACTAAAACATCTTCCAAATTGATGTCAGTTTCAAATTTTTTTTTTACTGAAACAGTTTCCAAACAAATAGAAACATTTTTATTTTGACATGTTTGAAACAGGTTCTAATTTTTTAGTTCAAAGCAATTTTTTATTTAAAAATTGCCTTTAATTTTATTAAATAAGTGACCCTTTAAAACTGTCAAAATCAAAATAAAAAATTTCAAGTTTGTTAAGATAAAATGTTTTATTTCACCCAAAATGATTTCCCCCCCAATTTTTTGATTTGTCAAAAATTGAAGGGAAAAAAAAATTAATTCCCAAAAAATCAATCCCCCCCCCCCCAAACCTAACAACCCCCCCCCCCCAAAAAAAACCACAAAACTCCACAATCAGTTATTCACACAGCTCTACTGCGAACACCAGCAGCTGTCTGGAGCCCTATCTACATTAATGCATCCACCATTAGTCTACCAGTAGTAACAAGAGTGGGCGATTTTGAGCAAAAAAGCCCAGTGTAGACAGGGCCTGACAGATTAGCTACTCTTGGGTCTCTGCTCCCAACATAATATATCTCCCACCCCATAGGATGTATGGTTGGATTTTCTGAGGAGCCTAAGAGAGTTAGGTGCCAAAATGGATTGTTCTCGGAGGACACATATCCTAATGAATTACCACGTACTCACCCTTCTCCCCATAGAGAGAGAGTTCTGAGAGACTTCTGTCTGTGAGAGGACTGAACAACAGGGTACAGTTGCAACCTACACACCTCATTGACAGCATTACAAGATGCTCTCTCATGGGAGCCAACAGTGCTGAGCCTGAGAGAATTTCTCATTCAGTTACCTAACTCCCTTAGTCTCTTTAGAAAATCCAGTCTATATATTCTCCAAAATACAAGTTACTCTGAATGGATGCTATAATAAAATGTGGACCCTGCAAGTGCTCTCAACAACCTTCTTTGCCTTCAAAAAGCCCAAGAACCACTTAGCTCCATTAGCACTTTCTTCCACCACTGGTCTAGCTCCAGTGCAGCTCCACCAGTGCTAAATCAACAGTGGGGAAAAGGACAGCTACACCCAGAGATGAAAGATTGCTCCATCAAATCTAGTCTTTGTTGTGTTTTAGTCCAGGGTAGTCAATAGGTGGATGGCGGGCCAAGTCTGGACCACCAAATCCTTTCGAATGGACCTCAAAATCTTTTTTATTTAATTTATCATCATCATAGTCTTTTTTTTTTTTATTTATTTTCTCGACCTTGACTATACCTTGACCAAGAAATTGGGACCTTGACAAAAAAAATAAGTGTTCTACCCCGTTCTAGACTAAAAATCCCATATTGTTTAAATATCAATACAATCGTAATATGTGAGCCATGTGGACTATGGCCCAAAACCCAAATGTTCCTCTACTTTCCTTAAACAGCGTACTTCACTTTCAGTTTTGGGTGGGTTTTTTTACACCATAAATAATCATTAAAATACAGCTTTAAAATGAAAATATGACATCTACACAAAACCACATGCAGAATTACTAAGCTACACAGATCCCAAAACATACACTAATAACAATTTTAAATCTTCTTGGAACATTAGGTCCATCTACAGATAAAAATCACTGTAAATAAATGTGACGTTGCACCCCAAAATGCTTTATGGAAATATGCTTATGAAAGTAAATATGACATAACTGGAATATGTTTTATGCTAGATATGCCATGTAACATATCTCTTCAAAGGTTATGATCTACTGAATATATTCATCCTATTTGTATGCATGTATCATTTTTGTATTCCAAGTTATGAATATTGGCTATGTACTTGTTTAATTTTAAGTAGCCTCTGTGAAGCAGTTGGTCAGCTTCCTGAGAAAAGACTATTCTCAGTAAGTGCCCAATCAAGAAATACTTAAGTTAACAATGAACTTGGAGACACCAATCCACATCTGAGCACACTACATCAGAGGTAGTCTCAGCACATCAGTTGGCAGTCTCAAGAGGGTTTCTGTGATCCAACTCGTCACAATAAATCCTTAGCTTATAAATTAGCAAGCTACTCTTTAATTAGTTGTATATTTTTACGTGGATCTGTAAAGCTACTATATTGTATTTAGCCAAAATAAAATAAAATAAAAACCTCACAGACAAACAAAATGGAACCAAGAAAGCTTACAGAATCTTTTCCAGGACGTTTTTTAGGAGGAGATTTATGCTTTGATTCCGATCTTTGTCTAGGTCTATCCTTTTCATTCTCTCTCTCTTTTTCTTTTTTATCCTTTTCTCGTTCAGTATCAGATTCTGGTGAATCCTGTGAACATAAAATGAACAAATGGAAAAAATTCTTCAAGCTTCCAAATATTTATTTTATTAACATGTTGTATAATGTGCACTGTGAGTGTACACACATCTCAGTACAACTAAACTCTGCAAAGCTCCATTATTGGGCTACATATAAGCAAACTGGCTTATTTAACACGTTCTTGTTTAGAACTAACTAACCAAATACCATTAACATGGCAGAAGAAAGCCAATACACAGACAAATGCATACACAAATGATTTAAAAAGATAGATAGGTAGGCTGACTTCAACTTGAAACATAGCAACAATTAAAATGGGCAGAGGAGAACTTACTCTACTCTTCTGCTTTTTAATCATACATATGAGGGGATTAGGTCACACTAGATCAGTGGTTCCCAAACTGGGGTTCGTGAACCCCTGGGGGTTTGTGAAATGTTACAGGGGGTTCTCGGGGAAAAAATTTCCTAATGGTGGACAGAGCTGTCCATAGGGACCCCATAGGCCAGCAGCCCAGAGCCCCTGGACTTCCAAGAGCTAAGCAGATCAAAGCAAGCATATCTATCACACTGAGGAGATTTTAACTTCAAGACTCCTTATAAGAAATGGAAAGGGAGGTGGATATTTTTTGCTGTTTTTAAAATTAAATAGGCAGCTAGTGTTCTTCATAATAATTTTAAAAACAGTAAGTTTAAGCTTTGGTGTAACATGCGTTGTTTGCCTGAACTGCTCAAGACCTGAATGCTTGTGTAGGAGGAACTCTGAGTTGGCTTCTTAAATAATAATAATAATAATAATAATAATAATAAACAGTGTGTAATAAGCATGTCATTAAAAAAATGTGTATTTCCAAGATCACTGCTTTTATAATTTATACTCAGGTAAAGGAGAAAATCCCTGGAAATATTCATTTTTAGGAGGGGGTTTGCGACACTTGACATTTTAGTGAAAGGGGTTCACAGGTTGTTAAAGATTGGGAACCACTGCACTAGACGCTAGAGCCTTGCAGTGGGACTGGGATCCCGCAGGTCCCACATAATGCTCTAGATGCTTCCTGACCAATTAGGCATTTATGCAGAAGTCATCTATTCAATTCGGCTTTTGCAAAGGGTTGTGTCTGTATTTAATAAAATCACTTTTTATTTAGTAATTTACTCAGAGTATGTATTAATACCTGGGGGAGCAAACAACTGTGCATATCTCTCTATCTGTGTTATAGAGGGCGAACAATTTATGAGTTTGCCCTGCATAAGCTTTATGCAGGGTAAAACGGATTTATCTGGGTTTAGACCCCATTGGGAGTTGGGCATCTGAGTGCTAAAGACAAGCACACTCCTGTGAGCTGTTTTTAGGTAAACTTGCAGCTTCGGGATAAGTGATTCAGACCCTGGGCCTGTGTTGGAGCCGGACAGGAGTGTCTGGCTCAGCAAGACAGGGGGCTGGAGTCCTGAGCTGGCAGGGAAAACAGAAGCAGGGGTAGTCTTGGCACATCGGGTGGCAGCTCCCAAGGGGGTTTCTGTGATCCAATCCGTCACAGATGGTATTTCCTGGAACGGGGAATGGCTGGAAAGCCACATCTCTATAGCTAGCTGCTGGCAGAGGTCCTACCTGAATACTCTTGGTGTTTTGTGGTAATAATAATTACACTAGGGTGCCTACAGCCTTGGATAGGAACATTTATTATTTAAATCTAAATAAATAAATACAACTGAAACGTTAAACCAACATTGCTTTCACACTGACCACTGGCCCTCCTGTGGCAGTTAACACATAATGGTCTGACTGTTGTTGAATCACCAGAATTGTATGCCACACACCTTACTCAACAGTGTCTGCCCCATATGAGGGCCTCTTGTGAGGGCTACCACTCTCAAAAAAGTACAGCTAAATTTTACAATTTCAGAAAATACAAAAATAAACATAAAAGTACCCTGTGTTTATGTGGCAATGTGACCACCATAATTTATCAGTAAACCCAAACCACTTCCCTTCCCCATGCCAACGGACACTCACCAGTCCTGAATCTTACACAGAAAAAGATAACATAACAGCTATGTTGTCATTTATTCTATTTGAGTTCTTATACTGCTCCAATCAGCATTGTATCTGAGCTCCCAAAATAGCTCTGGAACACCGACAGACAAGAGGGAGTGATCCCTGGCATAAGGCAAGAGCAAAAAAGGACTCCCATCTGAGTGCTCCTATGGCTGCCATGACAACAGTCCTGAAAGTGGCCATGGGGGCAATCACTCTAGCAAGATTTACCCTTATAAGCAACTTTAGACCTCATAATACTCAGAACTGAGCCCTCAGAAATGGTTTACTTTAAAGTGTATGTGTGGAGAACAGGAAGTTATTGTTAAGCTACCAGTACTCCTCATCTCTCTGGTTTCATGTAATGATATTTTAAGGCAATAGGGCTGATTACAAGTACCTTCAAAGATTAAATGAAAAGCAAGAGCATTACGTGTATTCATTGGCTAGCTCTAGAATAAAAAGTAGGGCTGTCGATTAACTGCAGTTAACTCACACGATTAACTCAAAAAAATTAATCATGATTAATCGCACTGTTAAAACAATAGAATACCAACTGAAATTTACTAAATATTTTGGATGCTTTTCTACATTTTCAAATATACTGATTTCTATTACAACACAGAATACAAAGTGTACAGTCCTGACTTTATATTTTTATTTTTGATTACAAATATTTGCACTGTAAAAATGATAAACAAAAGAAACAGTATTTTTCACTTCACCTCATACAAGTGCTGCAGTGCAATCTCTTAATCGTGAAAGTGTAACTTACAAATGTAGATTTTTTTTTTACATAACTGTACACAAAAACAATGTAAAACTTTAGAGCCAACAAGTTCACTCAGTCCTACTTCTTGTTCAGCCAATCGCTAAGACAAACAAATTTGTTTACTTTTCGGGAGATACTGCTGCCTACTTTTGATGACGCTCATTAAAAAAATAATGCGTTAATTAAATTTGTGACTGAACTCCTTGGGGGAGAAGTGTATGTCTCCGGTTCTGTTTTACCCGCATTCTGCCATATATTTCATGCTATAGCAGTCTTGGATGATGACCCAACACACACTCTTTGTTTTAAGAACAATTTCACAGCAGATTTGACAAAATGCAAAGAAGGTACCAATGTGAGATTTCTAAAAATAGCTACAGCACTTGACCCAAGGTTTAAGAATCTGAAGTGCCGTCCAAAATCTGAGAGGGACAAGGTGTGGAGCATGCTTTCAGAAGTCTTAAGATGTGGAAACTACAGGACCCTAACAACCAAAAGAGAAAATCAACCTTCTGCTGGTGGTATCTTACTCAGATGATGAAAATGAACATGCATCGGTCTGCTCTGTTTTGGATCGTTATCAAGCAGAACCCGTCATCAGCATGGACGCATGTCCTCTGGAATGTTGGTTGAAGCATGAAGGGACATATGAATCTTTAGCGCATATGATATGTAAATATCTTGCAACCCCGGCTACAGCAGTGCCATGCAAACAATGCCTGTTCTCACTTTCAGGTGACATTGTAAACAAGAAGCAGGCAGCATTATCTCTTGCAAATTGTAACCAACCTTGTTTGTCTGAGCAACTGGCTGAAGTAGGACTGAGTGGACTTGTAGGCTCTAAAGTTTTACATCGATTGCACTATGGTACTTGTATTAGGTGAACTGAAAAATACTATTTCTTTTGTTTTTTATAGTGCAAATATTTGTAATAAAAAATAAACGAAGTGAGCATTGTACATTCTGTGTTGTAACTGAAATCAATATATTTGAAAATGTAGAAAACATCCAAAAATATTTAAATACCTGGTATTCTATTATTGTTTAACAGCACAATTAATCGTGCAATTAATTTTTTAATCGCTTGACAGCCCCAATAAAAAGCTGTACTTACAGACTTGTGTCTCCTCTTTTTGTTTTTCTTCTTGTGTTTTTTTGACTTCTTGTAACTTCTCTCTAAAATACATGGAAAAGTAAGTATCAATAAAACTTTAAGACCCAACATTATCATGACAAGGCTTGTTTTAACAGAGGAGAGGGGAAAATATCTTACCAGATTCTGCACTGGAAGAACGATCAGAAACTGATCTAGATTCTGAGCGTTGCCTCTTCTTCTTTGAATGGCTATCATCATCATCAGACTCTGAGCCCTTTAAACAACACATTCTGAGTTCAATATTAACCTTGCAAGACAATATGTTGTAAATGTAGCTTTCACATATTATTCTAAGAAGGATCTTACCGAACGGGAGCGAGACCGTTTTCTGTGATGCTTTTTAGACTTTTTAGAATGTTTCTTATTCTTTGAATGATGATGTTGACACTCGTGCTGTGGTATAAAATAATCCAAACATTATAATTGTTTTAAAGAATCCGAAGCAAGTTGACCAATTTCTTAGCATCAGTCCAAAAGAGACACTCATGTTCACTGACATCAATTTGTTAAAACAATGTAACATCTGAAATCTTACTGTTTGTAACCTCTCTTAATATGCAACATTACATTTTTTAAAAATTAAATTTAAAGAAACTGCCATTAATGCACCGTTAAAGCTGTAAAATCAAGCATTAAAAAAAGAGTCAGGAATCACTTAGCATCATACTTTGAAGATGGATGGAAACAGCTTCAGTTTTCCATTATGCATGTTTAGTCTTGCATTTTTTAAACATTACTAATTTTAATGCCCTCCCCCTAAATTTGGCAAAGTATGTACTGCTCATTAAGACCTATTTTATGCCAAATTTGAAGTTTCAAAATTCTTGTTTTTAAAATCTCTTAAAAAAACAAAACACCAAATCAAATTTTAATAAAACAAGATGCAGTTTACATCAGCCTAATGAACCATCTGTAGCTTGAGACAGATTGAGTTATAATCCCTTCAAAATTCAAATTTGCTAAAAAAAATTCATCTCTACACAGTTCAGAAAATTTTAGCCCAAAAGGTAACTATTTTAGAATGTGGTGTATGAAAAGGGAAGTTAGATGAAAACAGCTCAATCACAAATAAAAAAAATAAAACACATGAAAATAGCTTAACCATAATACACTTCACTACTTTCAGACTGAGGCTTTAATATTTGTGTCACAAAATAAGACCGTTCAGTACAGTTTTGGAAAGTTTTTTTTTTTTACAAAAAACTGCTACAACAGTGCTATGAAAAAAAATTATAAATTACCTCTAGTACATGTATAAAGTCTTTAAAGATTCTTTTTCTTTCAGATTCTAGAGTGATGTCTTCAAATGCTGGTTCCTTAACAAATCTATCTCTGATCTATATGAAAAGGAACAACACAGAATGAAATACTATTACAAAAAGACAGACACACATATAAGTTTAACAATGAAGTAAAACAAACATGATTTCATAAATGGAAAAACATATTTTACTACTACAGGGTGAATTTACCCCTCACCCCAACAAGTTCATGTATACAATGTGTCCCATACTTCCAAATGTCCAAAGATTAAGATTGTCATATTCAGATAACTACCTATGTTTCTTCCATAAAGTTTAGATTCATTCTCATTTTTTTTAATGGCTATCAGTGAACATCTTTAACAGTTCATTTCTGCTATGCTTAAAATAAGTAGTGCTCTGACCCCACTTAAAACTGAAGCTCGCTCTCACACACACACACAAATAAATAGAAAGTCAGCTAAACACCTCCAAACAATCCATCAATGCATTTTTCCTACATTTTCTTTCCAATCATTCTAAGGGTGTGAAACAGCAGCTCTCTTCTTTTAGCCGTGTCATTGTAGTCAACAATTTGACGAGCTATCATTTGACACACCACTATTAGCTTGAAACACTTATACAGCAGATTGTGATATCACTTCACGAACCAGATGTGAAGGAAACAAACTTCATGTAAAGAGACAGATATTTTGATGATAGAGCGGCAATGGCAAAGGAAATGCAGGGAAAAGGCAATATGATATTTAACAGGGTTTTGATAAAATATTTATAAGTTTTCCATATTATTGCAATGGTTCTTCACACTTAGCTATACAACTGATACTTGTTTTCTTATGATTCACCCAGATGTCAAATCCATGTATGCACTAAAAATTATTAAAAGTTGATTAAATAAAGTAACTGAATGCTAAATACAGCTTGGAGTGAATTTGTACAACTAATTCTCAGTTAAAGAGCATGCATTTTTGCATACAAGACCTGTCAAAATCTACTCTGTTGCTTGAGATGCACGAGGGCAAAATTGTTGGAAATTTTTAGACAATTTTTGTGCTCCTATCAATGTATCAGGTCAAGTTCTATCATTGATCATGTGCATGCAGTTCACATTGGTTTCAAGGAAGCTGTCTCTTTAGCCAACATCTAAGACCAATTACTTTGGTATTTTGATTCAAAACATATTCTAAAATTGAAGAGCAATGAAACTTTAAATATTCTTTGAAGACACTTTCCATGGCATTTATTACAAATTACATTTACAGCCTAGTTGCTACTTGTATATATTTGAGGAATTTTACTAACCACTTACTAATTAAAGAAGTGTATATTAAAAATATGTGATGTCTGAGTTGAATGAGTATCTATGAACATACTGTATTACGATATTGGAGGAAAAGATACAAGAGGTCACCAGTTGATCCAAAGTGTTTCACCCAACTGTACTCACACGTCTCCTAAATTTTAACTTCAAAACTTTGGGCACTGTATAAATCGCTCAAATATTTTAATGTTTTTCATGACAATATTTACAAATTTTTATAAAAGAGTATGAATACTATCCATATAATAACTAATAAATGTTGGACTTTACCAGAATGCAACCTATGATGCAGAATAATCAGTTAAATAAAGAGCAAAGTGAACACCTGCTATTAAAACAGATCTACACAGAAGAACTTTCCTGCCAGAAATGTCTTATGAAAACGAAAAAGAGCTACATAATGATCTGCAACTTTTTTGTATAAGTAGCACCAACACTATAGGATTTTTAAGTACTTATGGTGAACTGCTTGCCTTTCACACCTCAGAACTATATTTTTAGAATAATCATTTCCTCAGTTAAAAATAGTACTGCAAAATAAATTAATTATCTCAATTCAGTGGAAGTTCTTTTAAAAGATGGGACAGAACTATTTTCATGTGTGTAAGTTATATTGATAGGAATAACACTGAGCTGGAGCCTATGAGATATGACAGTTTATTCATAAAATATCTGCATGCAAACCATACCACTAACAAACAATATTTTTGAGAAGGTGAAAAGTGACAATACATACATCTTCCCAGACAGCATCCAATTCAATTGGGGGCGTAGCTTGTTTTAACATGCTCTTGAATGCAGACTCTTTCCGCTTCATTTTGCGAGCCTCTTCTTTCTCCCGTTCACGTTCACGGGCTTCTGCCTTTTCCAGCAACTACAGAAAGTAAGTCGTGAAATCATTCAAGTGACAGTAACATCCACATAAGTAATGAAGAGTGATAATTAGCATGTAGTTTTGCCTAAAATTTTGCCTCAAGATATTTCAACTTTGGTATTTTTTAACCATTTTGTTTGTGCCTATTTACATTATCTGCTCCATTAGTCAACCTTAAATTTTATTTTTGTTCTTTTTCTCAACGTCTCAAATGAAGTCCATGTCCGACACAATAGAGAATGATTGTTACAACTTGCCAATATTGAAAGCAAGTTCATTAGGAAGCATCAGCTTACAACTGCAAAGACATTGTTGAATCCCTACTCTACAGTTGTACTTTAGGATAGGTTCTTTAGATTTTGAACAAGAACTCTGCCTCTCCAATCTGAATTCTCAAAACTGGCAATATCAAGAAACACACCCTTAATCAGCAGCATATTTTACACACCATATTTATTGAAGTACTCATAAAATACACCTAAAATGATGCAGAGAAAATAATATTTCAGTTTCTGAGGGCAAGTCTACTTTACTGCGCTATATGCGCTGCTGTAGCATGTCTGGTGAAGACGCGCTATGCTGATGGGAGAGTGCTCTCCCGTTGGCACAATTACTCCATCTCAATGAGAGGCAGAAGCTATGTCAGTGGGAGAGTGTCTCCACCGACATATCATGGGTTGTGGTTGCTGTGACTTACATCGCGCAGGGGGATGGCTTTTTCAGACCCCTGAGTGATGTAAGATACATCGACTTAAGAGGTAGTGTAGGCAAACCTTGATAAAACAAATTTTTAAAATCAATTTTCTTAATATGAACATATGGGAATGTTAAAACTTACACTATTGAAAGCCAGTTTGATATTTCCAGCATCTAAAGTGGTAGCTCTTTTAGTTGAACTGATGACCGTAACAAAGTCTTCAAAAGTAGTATTCACTTCAACCAGAAATCCTTTATCCTGCAAGAGAGTTACCTCCTTGGCACCAGGTAGGTCAGGAACTCTCACGTTAGCGCTAATGCACACTGCATTAGCGCAACGTGAAATCCCAACTCCCAGAGTCAAAGAGTTACATTATTAGTTTAATAAATTTGAATGATATATTGGTTCCTCTTATTAAGGAAAGCACATTTTTCCTCACCTTTAAGATGTCTTTTATTATCTTCTTTTCATCATGGTAACGTGCTTTCAAATCTTCAACATAAAACTTGAAAAGATCAAGTGCAGTTGATCCTAATGAAAAAACTAGAGAAGTCAAAAGCTAGCTCTAACCAAAGAGCTGCACTTTTTAAAAAATCAATTAGAAAATAAACATCACACTTCTATTTTGCCCCAAATCTATAGTCTCTGTACCTGTATCACTTTCTACATTGTTGGAAGAGGAAGTAGTCTTACCAGGCTGACCAAGCATGTTAGTAAATCTGATGTCAGAACTTATGGTTGGATACAACTCCATCCAGGAAGACATTGAATGTAATTGCCCATGTTCATGTAATTCATCCAAAAATAACTGCAAAATAGGATGGAATAAAAGTGTCCATTTTCACATATTTGAAAATGTGTTTTGCATACTTCATGTTATAATGATTGAAAGAAATACTATTAAATTGAAACTAATAATTTGTTAAAACACAATTTAAAAAATAATTTCAGGCACAACACCTGCCCGGGCAGTCCCTTATCCCCTCTTCTGACATTCCAATTACATTTTCCTACTTATTAAAATGTGTCACTCCTTTCATTGCTATATGGGGAAATTGACTTACTACACAGGGGAAATACGTAATTATCAGTATATTTTAGACAGGCCAAGAAAACCTAGTGCCCTTACTTTAAAAAGACTGTATGAAAGTGTCTGGAATATTTGAAAGCTGTTAGATTTTAAAGTTTAAAAAGTTTCACCAACCTGAAAAGATTCTCTATTTTTACGTTGTCGTCGCCTTTCCCTAAGCAAACTCTTCTGTTTTTCTTCTTCCTCTTCTTTTTCCAAAGCCCTGATGTGTTCTTCAAAACAAATCAGTGCATCTTCTTTATCCATATCTAGAAAGGAGAAAAGAAAAGATTTCCGACTGAGAAATTTCTTACCTGATAATTTTCTGTTAGCAGCTTCTCTCCTCATTCATCACTAAAGTGTAATAATGGGAGGGCATTATCCAGTAGTGACGAAAGATAGAAGCTACACAGAAGAATTGGTCTCATATTGAAGGATCCTAGTCATTAACAAATACAGGACTTCCATAAAGAACACTGGGCTGAGGAGAATAGCACTTGTGCAATTGCCCACATTTCCAAAGACAGCCATGAAACAGGGAAGACTGCATAAGGGATATTTGTCAATACTTCAATAAATTCCCAGAACCATGATCATTGAACAATACTGGACAACTGTAGTTGTAGCCATGTCGGTCACAGGATATGAGAGACACAAGGTGGGTGAGGTAATATCTTTTATTGGACCAACTTCCGTTTGTGAGAGAGACAAGCTTCCAAGCCACACAGAAGACCTAAAGAAGAGATCTGTGTGGCTCAAAAGTTTGTCTCTCTCGCCAACAGAAGTTGGTCCAATAAAAGATATTACCTCACCCACTTTGTCTCTCTAATATGGGACCAACTCAGTCTTCATAGGGAGGCCAGGGTTTGCTTTGTCATGGACAGTAAATTACCTTCTTACACTTTACATTGTGTCTGCACTAGAAGCTGGAGAATGACGCATAGACCGCACTTTCTAGAAAGACATACAAGACATGATCTCGCCCTGGTCTACTTGAGGGCAAGGTATAGGACGTGGCTGCTATACTTGGTATTCATTGTCAACTACAGCTCCAAATCCCAGAGCGGAGAACAACCTAGCAGGGAAGAGGATGATTTGGTCTCCACTGCCTTTCTACTGACATTACAAAAAAGATTATTCATAACATCAGGTGTCCACTTCCCAAAACACTATCTGAACTGAACAGAAATCACCAGGGCCTGATGAAATGCATCCTAGAATACTCAAGGAGGAGATATCTGAGCCATTAGCGATTATCTTTGAAAAGTCATGGAAGACAGGAGAGATTCCAGAAGACTGGAAAAGGGCAAATATAGTGCCAATCTATAAAAAGGGAAATAAGGACAACCCAGAGAATTAAAGACCAGTCAGCTTAACTTCTGTACCCAGAAAGATAATGGAGCAAATAATTAAGCAATCAATTTGCAAACAGCTAGAAGATAATAAGGTGATAAGTAATAGTCAGCATGGATTTGTTAAGAACAAACCGTGTCAAACCAACCTGATAGCTTTCGTTGACAGGGTAACAAGCCTTGTGGATGGGGGAAAGCAGTAGACGTAATATATCTTGACTTTAGTAAACTTTTGATACGGTCTTACATGACCTTCTCATAAATAAACTAGGAAAATACAACCTAGATGGAGCTACTATCAGGTGGGTGCAAAACTGGCTGGAAAACCGTTCCCAGAGAGTAGTTATCAGTGGTTCACAGTCATGCTAAAAGGGCATAATGAGTGGGGTTCCACAGGGTTCAGTTCTGAGTCCAGTTTGATTCAATATCTTCATCAATGATTTAGATAATAGTATAGCGAGTACACTTATAAAGTTTGCGGACAATACCAAGCTGGGAGGGGTTGCAAGTGCTTTGGAGGATAGGATTAAAATTCAAAATGATCTGGACAAACTGGAGAAATAGTCTGAAGTAAATAGGATGAAATTCAGTAAGGACAAATGCAAAGTACTCCAGTTAGGAAGGAACAATCAGTTGCACACCTACAAAATGTGAAATGACTGCCTAGGAAGGAGTACTGCGGAAAGGGATCTGGGGGCCATAGCGGACCATAAACAAAGTGTAACATTGTTGCAAAAAAAGCGAACATCATTCTGGGATGTATTAGCAGGATGTTGTAAGCAAGACAGGAGACGTAATTCTTCCGCTCTACTCCGTGCTGATTAGGTCTCAACTGGAGTATTGTGTCCAGTTCTGGATGCCTCATTTCAGGAAAAATGTGGACAAATTGGGGAAAGTCCAGAGAAGAGCAACAAAAATGATTAAAGGTCTAGAAAACATGACCTATGAGGGAAGATGGAAAAAACTAGGTTTATTTAGTCTAGAAAAGAGAAGACTGAGAGGGGACATGATAACAGTTTTCAAGTACATAAAAGGTTGTTACAAGGCGGAGGGAGAAAAATTGTTGTTCTTAACCTCTGAGAATAGGACAAGAAGCAATGGGCTTAAATTGCAGCAAGGGAGGTTTAGGTTGGACATTAGGAAAAACTTCCCAACTGTCTGGGTGGTTAAGAACTGGAATAAATTGCCTAGGGAGGTTGTGGAATCTCCATCATTGGAGATTTTTAAGAGCAGGTTAGACAAACACCTGTCAGGAATGGTCTAGATAATACTTAGTCCTGCCACGAGTACAGGGGACTGGACCTGTCCTATGATTTCACATAAGTTGCTGGCAGCTGCCATTATTTAGTAGTTGCTGAATTGGCAAAAAAAACAAAAAAACTATTTATAATCATTACTAAACCAGTTCCACGCCCTCTTCAAGAGATTCCCACTCCCCCCCACCCCTTACTCTGAAGTTCTTCATCCTCCGCAAATGTAGGATTGTCCATCAGATACTGTTGGGCCTCCGACCAAGTGGTAGAGTATGTTACATTAGCCATGTTGTCCAATATGTTTTTCAAAGCCTCCCAATTCCTCTTTCGTAACTGCTTGGCTTGCTCCTAAAGTGAGTAGTCAGGGCAAAATAAATAAATAAATCAGTCATGCATTAATTTTCCTAAAGTACCACATCAGATAAGATCAAGTATCACCCTCTGATTATATACAAAGAAAATGACAAATTTTGGACACATAAACAATAAATAATCTATATAGATTTTAAAATCACTTGACTCCATGGCCATACCACCTTGTCCATAATCTTATCACATTTAGAGCTGGCCAAAACTCAGTTTTCACAGGAAATTTCAGTATTTCAAAATTTGCCCTTTTTTCTGATTCAGTGAATAGCAACAGTGAAATTGGCAAGAATCGTATCAATTTCAATCAGCAGCTGCCTGGACTTCTAGGGTCCATGGCAGCTCTACCATGCAGACTGCCTCCGGGCTAGAGACGCCAGACCTTCCAGACTACTGATGATACAGTGGTGGCACTCTTCTTTAAGGTAGGGATGGACGCACACACACAAAATGTTATCTCAGGTTAGCTAACCTGCAACAGTTAACTCAGGTTAAAATAGCAGCGAAGACATAGCAACGCTGCTTTTAAAAATCATATTAGCAGCTCAAATTAAAGCCTATGGGGAATTTGAGATTGAATTTGACGAGTTAAAAGCCAAATCGCTGTGTTTTCACTGCTATTTTAACTCGAGTTAGCTCATGTGGCCTAGCTTACTTGAGCTATGTAGACAGACCCTAAGGCAGAGGTCCTCAAACTGTGGGGCACACCCCTCTAGGGGAGCATCGAGGAACATTCAGGAGGTGGGAAGGGAGCACCACCCAGCCCTGCTGTGGCCTCAGATCTGTTCTGGCCCTGCCCCCTGCCACATTGTGGCTCCACATCTGGCTGGGGCCTGGCTGGCAGCCTCCTCAAAGGCCCAAGCTACAGCTCCACTCCAAGCCCTGCCCACTCTCAGCCCCTGGCCGCGACTCCATTCCCAGCCCGGAAGCAGAGCCACACCTGGCCATGGGCCCAGCTGCTAACCCCCACCAGGGCCAGGCTGCAGCTTCATCCCTAGCCCCGCTCCTGGCCACATACCCACTCCCAGCCTTGGACCCCTTACCCCTGTCCACGCCGCCCCCCCCTCCAATCCACAGCCCCACTCCGGGGGGGAACACGGGGAATAGGGGTAAGAAGGGGGGCGCAACCTTCAAAAGTTTGGGGACCACTGTCCTAAGTGTATATTTACACAGCAGCTGGACGGTGAATTCCCGGCTCAGGTTGAAGTACATTCATTAGCTCTAATCGAGCTAACATGCTAAAAACAGCAGTGTGGACGTGACAGCACAAGCAGCAGCTCGGTCTAGCTGCCTGAATACAATCCCACCTGATCACTGCGATACATACTTGGGTGGCTAGCCTGAGCCACTGTGGCTATGTTGCTATTCTTAGCATGCTATCTTAAGCAGAGTTAGTAAATGGGTATCTTGCAGCTTGTGTGTCGACACACTGTAAGGCTTGGTCTACACTAGGACTTTAATTCGGATTTAGCTGCCTTAATCCGAATTAACCCTTCACCCGTCCACACTACAGAGCCAGTTAATTCGAATTAAAGGGCCCTTTAAATCGATTTCTGTACTCCACCTCGACGAACGGAGTAGAGCCTAAATCGATTTTGTTAATTCGAATTAGGGTTAGTGTGGACGCACACCACCGAATTACTGTGTTTAAGTTAATGGGGTAGTGTGGCCGCACACCACCGAATTAATGTGGTTTAAAACCGAATTAAGGTGCTTAGTGTGGCCGCGCACAATCGAATTTATACAACCTGTTTCCCAAATTCGAATTATCTAAATTCGGATTAATCCTGTAGTGTAGACATACCCTAAGAGTGTAAAGAACCAGTGCTGAACCATGGGGCTCACTGTATTGGGGGAGGAGCTGCTTTGCAGAGCTCTATAACTCCAGGGTTAAGGTCTGTATGCTTGCAAAAAATTTATCAGGCTTTTTGCTGATTATATGTGATCAGAACCTATGTTTAGGGAAATTTCTATCTAAATTCTCCTTACATTTTTAAACTACATATGTTGTTCTTCAGTTTGTGTCTTAAAATGTTGTGCAGTGATAGTATGCACAGTTGAACAGGTGCTGCATACTATATATATAAAATCAGATTTTCAGCTATGTAAATGGAAACATGCAAATTTATACCAGCTGAGACTCTGGCCCATAATTTGTTTCAATACGTAGTATAGAGTATGATAAAGCACTTTTGAATAAAAGCCATTATATAAATGTATGCAATATCCACATTGAACAGATTGTTCTTTGTGGGAAAATGAAGTTAATAGACTTGCAGTCAGCAAGCCTATTTCAGGGACGTGATAATTACATACTGTACAATGAGAAACAGTTCTAGATGGGGTTTCCTAAGTCACTGGCAAGAGAAAAGTTAGACTCAAAACAACCTAGAAAATTCTTTACTTTCTTCAATAGGTTCAGATTAAATTGTTTTCTCTGAGATAAACCTTGAAAACTAAAAGAAAAATAATTACCTTTTCTTTTTTAGACAGAAAGAACAAGACATCTTCATAAATTTCAAGACGATCACGTTCTGATATTGCATTCCAGACCTCCATCTCACCAAACATTTGTTCAGCTTTTCTGTATATAGAAAAATCCACCAAAAAGAGATACATATACTCACTTATTGGCACATACTGATTTAAATGTAGTGGTGGTAGTCTCTACATAAAGCTTCATATTTTGGCTGGAAACATTTAGGTAAAACTCTCTCTTTGGTCAAGTTGTGCATATTACTTCAAACAGGTTTATTTACTTCCTATGATGGCTCCAAGATCTCTTTCCTGATTAGTTGTAGCTAAATTAGCCCCCCATCATATTGTATGTATAGTTGGGGTTATTTTTTCCAATGTGCATTACTTTACATTTATCCATATTAAATTTCATTTGCCATTTTGTTGCCCAATCACTTAGTTTTGTGAGATCTTTTTGAAGGTCTTCACAGTCTCTTTGGTCTTAATTATCTTGAGCAGTTTAGTATCATCTGCAAACTTTGTCACCTCACGGTTTACTCCTTTCTCCAGATCATTTATGAATAAGTTGAATAGGATTGGTCCTAGGACTGACCCTTGGGGAACACAACTATTTACCCCTCTCCGTTCTGAAAATTTACCATTTATTCCGACCCTTTATTCCCTGTCTTTTAACCAGTTCTCAATCCATGAAAGGATCTTCCCTCTTATCCCATGACAACTTAATTTACGTTAGAGCCTTCAGTGAGGGACCTTGTCAAAGGCTTTCTGGAAATCTAAGTACACTGTCCACCGGATCCCCCTTGTCCATATGTTTGTTGATCCCTTCAAAGAAATCTAATAGATTAGTAAGATACATTTTTGGGCAAAAGTCAACATGGTTTCTGTAAAGGGAAATTGTATGTTCTTCTCTGTCTGACAATTTTATTCTTTACTATTGTTTCAACTAATTTGCCCGGTACTGACGTTAGACTTACCGGTCTGTAATTGCCGGGAACACCTCTAGAGCCCTTTTTAAATATTGGGGGGGTGTTTGCTGTAAAATGATCTGGGACTAGTGGTAATGGCTTGGCCTGGATGACTCTGCTTGGGCATCTAGGTGCAGCCCTTAACACCTATGCTACATCACTTGCAATGGCTCCCAATTATTGACTTCCAGATAAAGTTAAATTGGTGCAACTTTGTGGTTGACACTTACATTGATTAAGAGTGCCCCTGTTTAACAGATGTAAGCCATATTTAAAACAATATAAGAGAATAGCCATACAGAAAAGTTGCACTGTTTTAACTCAATTGATACAACACTGCACCTTTAGTTAAACTACTGCAACTTTATATGCACACCAGGCCTTAGTCTGCCACAGCCTGGATTTGGTGATGCTCAGAACTGAATACAAGTCACCTGTTTTAACAGTAGCAGTGTGTGGCAGCACTGAAAGAAGCTAAAGTGTGGATGACTAGTTAGCTGAGGTTTTTGGGGGGCAGGGGGTTATATGGTAATATTGATTACAAGCCTAAAAGACTGACAGGCACAATATACAAATCCCAACTAAATTTAGAATCTTACTACTCTCTCTCTCTCTCACACACACACACACACACACACACACACACCACCCCATTTCAATTCAATTTTAATTCATAAAATACAGGAGGTCAGATTAGAGAATCCAAGGGTGCCTTCTAGCCTTAAAATCTGTATTTTGGCTTCAAAGTTATCAGTACATGGGAATAAACAGGATGAGTACTGATCTCTTTTGGTACTATGCTCCTGTGTAACTATGCAGCCAATAAGGTACACATTTTCACACTTAAACCAAATCCCACCATCTTCACAACTAGCAGAGCTAGAAACTATTTTTAACATACACACACTTAGAGTCTTCAGAACACAAAGTCCTGAAAAGGCTCCAAAATTTAAGACATCTATTTCTCCGATTTTAATTGTTCCTATTAAGCAGGGTGCAACAGAGTGAGGGGTGGTGGAGTTAGATTTTGTATTTTTATTCTTACAAGTCCTAGAGAAACAAGCCAATGTAACACCCACACCACTGGAAGACATTCAAGCTTTTTAGTGGTCTACTAACTTGTATTTACTGCTCAAGCAAATATGTTCACCTAAGTAAGAAGTCAGAAGTAAAGAAAGCCTTTGGAATTGAAGTAAGTGTTTAATTAGAACAAGTTAATAGTACCATAGGATTCAGCAATGATTTTGCTTTGCACTCTAAAATGTTTTATAAAAACTGTACTTCACATTGATCCTGGGGCCAACTGTTTCATGTGAATACTAAACCAAGATTCACATATCAATCCATAAAATCAACTAGAAAAGGAATACCAACACACAGCTTTCTTTGCTGAAGAGATAAGAATAAATTCATGTTCATAACTACCATCACAAAAAATACGAGACTAATTCATAGGCTAGAAAAAGAAGTTACCAGCAACAATTAGGATGTGGGTACTATCAGGTAATAATGCTTAGTTGAAAATGCCACAGAAAATAATGCGGAAGTTTACCAGGTAAGGCTACCCACTCAGAAGAGGTGAGTAGGAATAGTTTTCCACCCCTGCCTCCCTAAACTCGGTCTACTGGTTTCCGCTTTCGCATTTTAGAAAAAAGACCAGCACTGGTTTTTTGCTTTGCCTACATGAATATTTACTTTAAGAAAAAAAATGAAAGTAAGCACTCTTACTGTTGCAAAAATACAAATGCACTGTGCACTCTATCTTCATGCAAAAATCGTTAATCTCAGACAACATACAAATTAATAGAGTTCAAACAGCAGCTTTATGGACAGGGTGAATTAGAACACTAAAAAAGAATAAATCATAAAGATTAAAAACATTAAGGGTGACAACAGGTTTCATGCTATGTTGTGATTCTCCACCAATACAATTTTATTGCAAATTTATATATTTTAATAATAGGTAGTTGTGACATTTAAGGGGCACCGTGTAGGAAAAGAAGCTTTATAAAACAAAGTTGATCTTAAGAAAAAATAAAGACAATGTTTTGGATTAGACAAAGGGTTGGCTTTAAAAAAAAAAAAAAAAGAAGTATTTAGCCTTGTATCATGCCAAAATGGCTAAATCTCTGGATCTGACAGTACACCAGAAGAAGCAAGTTCACAACCTGGGCCCCCTATACTGACAACCCTCTGCATCTCAGAATGCATGAGGTAAGCCTACAATTTACATTTTGAATTAAAGTTAAAATTTATTGCTTTCATTGTTAAAAGGAACACTGTAAAGGCTAACGAACCAAAAATTAGCTCCATCTGAAAAAAAATCCATTAATCTCCCCTAAATCTTTTGCTGATAACTAAAAGTTGTCTACAAAAACAAACTAACTGGGATTATAGAATCAATTCATTTGATGGGAAACAAACCTTACAAAAGTTCTGTTTATAAGACAGCAGTTTGTCAGTGATCTACATATTATTATTTTAAAAATTAAATACTAAAATATTCTTCTGGAACAAACCAGCATAAAGAAAGTTGTTTGCAACCTTCTGCACTGAACTTACTGCTCATGAAACTTCATCATTTGTGGCATCAGGAATACCAGCAATGGTAACTGGGATCAAGAACTATTTTCAGATTAGTTTTACAATTTATACATGACAAAGAATTTTTCCCACTCTGAACTCTTACGGTTGTAGGTCAGAAAAATAACGGTTCTCCTTTGACATAGCATTACAGAATTTAAAGAGTTATGTTTTTATACTGATAGTAATGACATTAATTCTTACATGACACTGCCAAGTAATTAAAAAACAATGTAACTAACCTCAGTTTTATTCCTATTATATATTTCTTTCACTATTGTGAGAAAAGAATTGTAACTTGTCTGGCTCATTCCAGTTATCAGCCAGGTGATATGGGTAAGGCCACTAAGGGCATGTCTGCACCAAAGCTTACTGAGTGGCAAAATGGGGTATAAATCTACAGTGCTAACTCATGCCTTGATCTAAGTGTCCGTGTGGACCCTACTGCTGTGCACTAAAAGTAAGCACTGCACGTCAATGTGCACTAGGGAACTTTTAGAACGCAGTAGCAGGGTCCGCATGGACAGTTACTGCGTGGCCTGCTGGAGTGTTGCACAAGTGGTTGTGCAGACGTGCCCTAAGTATTCTACTGTTTTCTTGAACAAAAAATGAAATTTAACACAACAGCACCATACTAGGAAACAGAAAGATTAAAATGTAATTTATAGGAAAGATTGTGTTTATTTTTAAATAAAAATATGGCGTAACATACTACCTTCGTTTCTAGATACTTGAACTCAAATGCTATCAGTTCCACTTATGCCCCATCATACTGTAGTCTAAAGACCTGGTCCTACAACAGATAATTAGATCGGTATAACCACGTCGCTCAGGATGCAAAAAATCCACTCCTGAACAACACAGTTAAACCAACCTAACCACCGGTGTAGACAGCACTAGGTCAATAGGAAAATACTCCTGTTGACACAGCTACCACCCCATGGGGAGGTGGATTACCTATGCTGACAGGAGAAGCGTAGGTAGTGTCTTCACTGTAGCGCTTTAAGTGCAGACAAGCCTTTAGATTTTTCAAAGACGAAACGTTATACAAAGGTTCATGTTCACCAGAGACCAAGCCAAATAAATTTAAGGTTGAACTTGAAACGGTGATGGGTCATTGTGGTACATTAAGTTGATCTTACTTGTATCTCGTTGTAGATGTCATCTTTTCATGGTTTTCAAGGAAACGTTGAAAGGATTCTTTAGCTTCTTTGTATTTTGATCTTGCTTCTTCTTTTTCTTCTTTCTCCGTCTGGACTTTGTAAGCATTAAAGGCTTGCTTTTTTTCACTCAACTTTGCCAATGCACTGAACAGCAAGAGAAACAAGATTTTAAGTACACAAAATGGGAATTAGAAAATAAAAGTAATAATGCAAATTTATTTACATACAGAATAAAATACAAACACTAATGTTAATAGAAGTGTGGTGAAACAAAGTGAAGCCTACATTACAGAACTAAATTAATACTCAGGCTATTGTATCTGCTTTCATGTCTTTAAATAAAGTCTATTAAGCCAAAGTAACTTTTCTTATAAAATACTACCAAATAGCCTCATAAGAGGTCTTACTTTCAGGCTGCATTTTGGACATTAAGTATAGAGCCAAATTTTCAAGTCTGTTCAGCACCCAACAGCTCCCAATGAGAGCAATGAGCTCTTTTGAAAATATGGCCCAAAAAGTTCTCAGCATCTCCATTATAACAAACATAAACCCCTATTTCAGGGAAGATTTTTAAAAATGTGAAGACCATCTATCAGTTTAACTCTAGTTAGTACTGCTAATACATCTTTGCTTTAAGACCATGTACCAGTCCATTGTTCATTGGTGAACATATTCAGCTCCCAAGGTATGTTGCTACTTTAATAAGAGGTCAGACTCAAAAAAAAAAGAAAATTGGCTTCGTGTAGGAACTGTCAGTATTTGATCAAATCCTATTTCAGTGCTCAAATATGACACTGATGAGGGCAAAGCATATATACATTATGTCTGTGACAAACAATGTAGATTAAAGAGAAGAGAGGAAGCAGTACCTGTATCTAGGATCATTAATGATCATTTTCATAGCTTGCTCCCAGGAGGCATTGGATGGTACACGCTGTGAAGACATTAAATCAATAATGTAACCACTAGATTTGGTACCAACATACTATGGTGATACAGTTTCTTTGGAAATACTGATAGACTAGATTGAAGTATTTCATTTGTGTGGTGAGGCACAGCAGACTTCTCACTGATGTTAACAGGAGAGCTGTACAAAGACAGACTATTCCCCCTTCATAATAAGTATGTACAGTATGTTAGTAAAATAAAGTGATGTTTTCATAAGTCAGTCAGAGAGAGAGAGAGGGCACTTTTAGGATCATCATCACTATTTCTACCGTTTGATTCTCTTTCAGGCACTCTTCTACTGCATTTGGACACTAGAGTGTTGGGCACACTACAGAAAGCATCCATCAATAAATAGACTCAGAGGGAAATTGAGCATTAGATCATTCTTCTCTCACCACCCCCCTTCCACCTTTTGAACAATGGTAGGAAATTCAGAAAGCATGCCAAAGGACAATTGTATAGGGCTCCACATTTTTGATCCTGCAGTGAAGTAATAATACGTTTATAACATTTACGGTAATTTCAATAACAATGTGGAATATAACAGAATTATGACTTCACAAAGGATGGATCGTAAAAGAAAACCTGTCTAAACACACGTGGCTTTAGTAATTGTAGTAAGATGAAGGAAAAAGGAAATGGATTTTTGTTGAGGATAAATGTATTTTAATGTGAAAGTCACTCTTGTTCCAACTGCGGTTAATCTGCGGTTAAACATAGTGACAGTTTTTGCCTTTGTCGTCGGCATCTTTATAATTTTCTGCCATATCTTCATAGGGCAGTTAAAAATCATCAATTTCTAGATTTTGGACAAAATTATGAGTTTAAAATTGCATTATACTAGGGAAAAACATAGGAAGGAGAAGAGCTGTGAGCCCCCTGATTACACACAAATATTTTTAAAAAGCATAGGCAATATATAAAACAATTGCCTAAACAAGTACACTTCCTCTATAGCATTTTTTTTCCTCGTTTACTCCAATATGAAAGTCAACCTTTTTAAAAAATAAATCAGGCAAATAATTCAGAAGAGTTTAAAGAGTAGTTGACTCAATTTAAAAAACCTTTTCTTTCAACAGTTCTTTAAATGCTTGCTTTGCTTCTTCTTTCGTATTCCATGTATATGTTTTTTTAACTGGCTGGGTGTCCTCTTCCTCTTTTTTGGGAGCAACACTAAGGATTAAAGACAAAATATTACATACTTTAGGTAAATACACCATTTTTCAGTTAAACCTAAAAAAGGGTCATTATCAATTTAAGAGATGTCCAATTAACAGACATTTACTGAGAAATATTTTTCAAATATATAGTTTAATAAGACGGAAATTAATACTTTATATAAAAATAATAATTTGCTAGTCTAAAATAAAATGATACACGTTATGGGGGGAAAACTGAAACAGACTATCTGAACAAGTCATTTTAAAAATACCTCTCTCTCTGCAATAGTGGTGCCACTATTACAATCAACTGCCTGCTCAAATTATCTCCCCCTTGATTTAAGTGAGAGGGAGAGAGAGGAAAATAGGGCATTAATTGAGACTTGACTTTGCAACTACTCCTAATCTTGCCTAAAACTATTGACCTTCAAAGTACACTGCAAAACTTGTCTGTTTTTTCAGGCTTTTGGTGAGGGATGGAAGGCACAGAGTAGTTGCAGTCAGTTGGGAAGGTGTGATACAAACTTTGGCGGGTTTATTTGATTTGGATTTTTTAGTTGGGGACAACAGCCTATTCAGAGTGGGCTACATGTTTTTACTTCGTTTTGTATTTTTAAAAATGTATATTCTAAATTACAGACAAGCACCTGGGTGTTTCAGGATGATGCAGCCTGTTAAAATTCTCAAATACTTAAAACAAAGTCTAACTCACTTTTCAGAGTGGCAATCTGTATGCTGTATGTTTTAATATTGTTTATCTAACATTTCTTTATTTTTCTAAAATAAAATACAAAAAGTAATGGGTCCCAACAATCCCCAATTAAATTTGGCAAATAAATGAAGGACCTGAGAGAGTTATGAGTGGGCTTTTAAAAAATAATTTAAAATGCCTTCTTCCCTTGTGTTTTTTCTTAACCATTTCTCTCCATTAGCTTTGCTCCATTCTCCTTTTTTCTTTTGAAAAAAATCTGAACAAAAAGTTTAGTCACCTCCAATGTAACTACAATCCCAAAACTCTCAACACTAAAAAGCTTCAGATTAAGGAGCTGTATTCCAAGCCAAATTATTGGATTTTGCTTACTCCACTGAAGCCTCCTGTTTAGAAGTTTCCTCTACAGTGTTAGTGACAGCTTCTGCATTCTGCTCTTGTACAACAGGGGTGGTGATGGTTGTGGCAGCGGCGGCGGTGGTGGTGGTGGTAGTAGTAGTAGTTTGCTGCACTTGTTCCTCAGCTGTTGTAGTTACTGTACTTTCATTTTCTACAACAGCAGCTACTGTAGAAGTTTCAGCCTCAGGAGCAGCTGTTACAGCAGGAATGGCAGTGGCTGCAGTAGCAGCCACGGCAGTTTCAACATCACTGGTGGTGGTGGCGGCGGCGGTGGCGGCGGCCGTGGCAGTGATGGTATCTGTAATTTCTGTTGCAACAGCTGGAGCAGAAGATGTTGGAGTTGATTCTTCTGGTTTACTGCTGAATACATGAAATAAGAAAATCGAAATAACAGTTTTATAGTCATGTAAGTTCAATTAACCTTAAAGGAAAATATTAAACTTTAAATACGGTTCTAAGGACATCACCAACAGTTTTAGGCCTACCTTACGAAGTGTTATATCTCACACACAAAAAAAAAAAAAATCTAAAAAAATTTCAAAACTGGGGAGTTTTTTTTTTTTAGAACTGTACCGCTTAACAGAAATAGAGGGACAAAATTCAAATATTTTTAAATTAAAAGCACTTCTAAAATTAAATAATGAAAATATACTTTGGTAATCAAGTATTAAAAACACTGTAGAGATTGAAAGCAAGCTAGAAGTTTATCTCAAGAGATCAGGGTTATTTCAGTTTAAGAAAAAAATAGTCACTGATACTATCAATTTAATAAAAAAAAGTATTTTTAGAAACATACCTGTTTTCTTCAGCTTTAATCATCGCTATAGGGGCAAAAGAAGAAAATGTTTATTCAAAATACAACTGTTCACAAGATGCTTATGTTTGGAAAAGAAAACTTACTGATATAAAAATTTTATTTATATATATATATATATATATATATTTTAAGAAATTGGTCAGGTATACAAAAATAGATCAAGCTGTTCTTTTATTGTTGATATTTATGATGTTAGTATTCTTGTTTCAATAATTTAAAAGATAGGTTGATTAAAATGAAATTCTAGAAGCACAAAAACACAGAAAATCAGCCTTCTGGAACTACTACTTTTTCTTTTTTGTTCAAACTGAAGTAAATATTTTCAGTTTCATCAGGCAACAATGCTACTTTCAATACAGACAAATAGTGTTTACTCAACTGCATCTTTTTCTATCTAGTTTTTAAATACCAGTGCTGCTTCTCTAATCTTTGGAATTCCTCCCACCCTCACCCCCAACTCTCCCCATTTGTACTATTCGATTACCTTAGCTTCCTTAAAATTATTTTAACATTTGTAATTTTTTCACCTTTGAAGAATTTGATTTACCAAAAATACTGACCATACCCCATTCAAAGTAAACACTTAATGCAGCATTACACTCCACCAGAACAAACTATGACGTTACCTTTGTGGAACAGCAAGAAGAAATCCAAATGAGACCTAGATTTATATTCTTGTGTGTCATAATATCTTACACAAATAAAAGATGTTGGTGGTTTTCTCTCCCAACATCTCCCAGCCCCCAAAATTAAACAGATAATCTCAAAATAAAGCTTTACACACATGCACTTTGGAGGGATGCATGCTTTTGACTTTGATAAATTAGCTATTCCCAACAATAATAAATTGAAGCAATGGTTGGTGGGGGCAGTGGGGAAACAGATTATTAACGCCATTTACAAACACAGCTTCATGCATAATTTTGATTTTCAACTAAGATAGCTAACACCATTTTTATTTCAAATCCACTGAACAGGAGGACATTGAATTAAGTTTAATCTTTGAGACTTTAATCAATTTAAAATAAGACAGACCAGTTCTGTTCAGTTATAATGTTATATTATTGGGACAAAGCTCCAGAATCTCTTTTTTATTTCAGTCTATTTAATTTTTAATAGGAAGAACTATTCCTACACTAAACTAACCGTCCTAAATGTAGAAATAACATTTACATTACACACAAACTGCTTAGTTTCCATTACTGTTACCTTCAAGATCTTCAAGCTCTTTAGGTTTTGCCCAGCGTGATTCTTTTGTTTGGGAATTGTAGTAATAAGGCTTTCCAGAGTCAGATTTGTACTCTTTCCAAGGGCATTTAGATAACAATTGCTAACGGAGAGCAAAAACGTTTGTTAAAAATCTTATTACGTTTCAAAACTACTAAAATATCCTAAAAACAACCCAAAAATAAGCCTAAAATCAACTTAAAACATATCGCAATGCATACAATGAAAATATTTCCTGAAGAAAAGCGGCAAAATGTAAACCTGATGTCAGATTGTGATCTCAAAAGCACATCAATGAGTATCGTGAAGAATCCACCCAATTCAGTTATAGACAGTTATCTAGAATTAATAAAATTTGTTTTTTGGAGCGGGGGTGTTTACGTTTGTAAATTACATTGAAATAAAAATTCTAATGCATGTCTCCTGGACAGTACACTGAACTCATTTTAAGTCAATTGTTCCATATCTTTCAATTAACTTGGTTTACCTCAGCAGGTGTTTTGAGATCATCTGGCTTCTCCCATGTAGATTGTTTTGTTTCAGTATTATAATAATAAGTTCTTCCATCTGGTGATTTATGTTCAGTCCACATAGATTTCTAGGGAAAATAAAACAGACCATCAATAAGAAGCAATAAAATGTGATTATGGAATGCTATAAAATCTCTAGAAAAGTTAAATACAAGTAGAAACTCATGAAACCTGTTTAGAAGGATCTTCATTTATAGAACTGTTGGCTGTGGTGGTTTGCTGGGCTGCGCAAACTATTTGATGTGTGATCTGAGGGGAAAAAAACGAAGTGTACCAAGTTCTTTTATTTGTTTAAATTTTAAAAAAAAAAATCATGTATTTTAAATATATCCAATAAGAATGTTTAAACACAGAACAGTAGCAAAAAAACAACAACCTAAAACTGATTCAGATTGACAAATTTTGTATTTACAGTAAATGATTTTAAAGTACAATGAAGAATCAAAAAGGAAAACTTACAATACTACTCCAAGATAGACAATGACTGACTGACATACATGCACACATACAGGATGTCTAGGTCACTTTTAAATGCAACTTAAAATGCATAGTTGATAATGACTGAAAATCATTTCCATACGATGGCAGTTTAGTGTGCCACATGAAATAAGTTCAAAGTTTCAAATTACTTCCTAGGTGACACCTATGTACATCACTAAGGACTGAAATTTACAATGACCCAAGACTGGGAATTGTTATATTAAGTTATGGACTGGTGCCACACTAATCCTGCTGAAAAGGCTGAATCCACTGGTATACAGACATTTGTTTATAGCAGTGGTGGTCCTTGAGTAGGGTCCTAGCAAATTCACAGTCCATGTTGGTCAATTCTACAGTCATAGGATTTTTAAAATAAAAAATTTTATGATTTTAGCTATTTAAATCTGAAATTTCACAGGGTTGTAATTGTAGGGATCCTGACGCAAAAAGGAGTTGTGTGTGTGGCGGGGGGGGGGAGGGGGGGGGGCCTGCGGTACTGCTACCCTTACTTCTGTACTGCTGCTGGCAGCTGGGTACCCGACCAACAGCCACCGCTCTCCGGCTGCCCAGTTTTGAAGGCAGTGCAGAAGTAAGGGTGTCAATATCACAATCTCCCTAAAATAACCTTGTGACCCTTCCCCGCCCCGCAAATCCCTTTTGGGTAAGAACCCCCAATTTGAGAAATGCTGGTCTCCCCTGTGAAATCTGTATAGTATAGGGTAAAAGCACACAAAAGAGCAGATTTCACTGGGGGAGACCAGATTTCACAGACCGTGATGCATTTTTCCATGGCCGTGAATTTGGTAGGGCTCTATCCATGAGGTATCAGACTTCCCACCCTCCATCCCAATATTTGCTTGTATTAAGTTGTTGTACTGTGTGGTAACTTCTCCTGAACATGGGAACAGGAACTACTTAAAATGTCAACAAAAACATAGGGTCCAAATACCGTCTGAAGATTTTGCATGGAGCAGAAATAGTATCAGAGACACAAATATTAACATTTTTTTATTAAAGTATTGAAAAAAAAAAACAGTTTAATTCAATAATAGCAAAATAGATTGTTATGAGTTAGTTGACCCTCACACTTTAAGATCAAAGAGCCAGTTAGGACTAGAAACACTGATGGACTGGTACACGGGCCTTCCAGATTAGTAGACTCTGACCACTCATTAGAAAAACGTTTTCTAACCCTTATGACAAACCATTATAATAATTGGCACTAACGAAGATCCTTGTTGGTAGTCTCAGCTGACTTACCAAGGATTGAATACAGTCATGGAACCTGAAGTGCTCTCTTGTTCTGAACATGTTTGTGTCAGGGCACTGTGAAGACTACATTGTGCTATACTGTTCTGTTGATACAGACCACACACTTCAGAGCTAATACAAAAGTTTCATGAACACTAAACAGACAAGAAAATTTCTCCTTTTTAAATTTAACTAAATTAATAGGAAATTTGGGGATTTAAAAATAAGGAGTAATTTCCAGTCTTCACCAGCACAAAAATACTACACTGCACTAAGGAACTGTGTGCCTGTTTTAAGGTTCCATATCTCAAAATGCTACTCAGCTTTGCAAAAGCATAACTGGCTAAGGTTGAGTCTGTATTTCAGTCCTCAAAATTCACAAGATACCAGAGCTTAAAAATCATTACAATTTTCCAAGACCTAAAAATATTACATTATTTTTATCGCAATCTTATTTTCCTTTGTTTTTTATATATTTTAATGATTGCTGTCTTGAGAACTAGAGGAACTAGAAAAACACTCTCCTAAAAGTCCAAGAGAAATTAATAAAACTGGGACTTTTCAGCTTGGAAAAGAGACAACTAAGGGGGGATATGATTGAGGTCTATAAAATCATGACTAGTGTGGAGAAAGTAAATAAGGAAATGTTCTTTACTCCTTCTCATAACACAAGAACTAGGGGTCACCAAATGAAATTAACAGGCAGCGGGTTTAAAAAGAACAAAAGGAAGTATTTTTCATGCAACACGCAGTCAACCTGTGGAACTCTTTGCCAGAGGATGTTGTGAAGGCCGAGACTATAACCGGGTTCAAAAAAGAACTAGATAAGTTAATGGAGAATAGGTCCATCAATGGCTATTAGCCAGAATGGGCAGGGATGGTGTCCTTGGCCTCTGTTTGCCAGAAGCTGAGAATGGGCGACAGGGAATGGATCACTTGATGATTACCTGTTCATTCTGTTCATTTCCTCTAGGGCACCTGGCATTGGCCACTGTCAAAAGACAGGATACTGGGCTAGATGGACCTTTGGTCTGATCCAGTATGACCGTTCTTCTGTTCTAATCAGATAACTCAATGGGAGCAAAGAGAGCTCAGCACACCTAGAATTCAGGTCTAAATACTGAATGGCAAGAGTGTTTGGTTGACAAACTAGTACAAATACTTTGGGGGCAATTCAAGTTTTCAAACACTAGTCAAAGACTGGTAGTCTAATAGAAAAAAATATTGATCCCTAAGCATGTAAACTGATTTATAATGAGTGCATAAGTAACGTGCAAGCTACAGAGTAAAAATAATATTGGGGGGGGGGGGGGAAAGAGGGGTGGAGAATCAAATAAGGTTTTTCTTTTAATGTCCATACATGGACTTATAATCATTGTACTTCTATTAAGTTTCTGAAGCCTTGGTTTTTACTCACCTGTGTTCCAGGAGGTGTAGTGCCTATTTTAAAAAAACAACACAAAAAATAAAACACAGAATGAGAAATACGAGTGCTCTAGAAAACACTTCTAAATTATATTTTTTCCTCTCCGGCCTTTTATAACTTAAAAATGACTTACTGTAAATAAAAGATTTGATAAAAACTAAAAGAAAAATGACCTACCCATAACTTCAGTTCAAGAAGATTATCAGGATAGATTAATCCTTGTAATGGACACCCAGGGGCATCCAATCAGAACTCTTTTGCCAAGAATGTCTGTTGGGGCTACACACGTTCTTGCAGCACCAGTTGTTTGGGCTTAAAATGAGCCATGACCCACAAACACAATCTACTTTTCATTATGCAGGGCCCAGTTCAGGAACACAACTCTATTCATGGCAGCATTTAAGCATGTGCTTAATTTCCATTTAAGTCACTTGGATACAATCATGTGCTTAAATGTTTTCTTGAGCCGTGTCCTCAGAATTTGAATTAAAGACTCCAAAGAGGGCAGGGAGGGCCAGGAGTCTGAATCCATATCAAAAACAATTATTGTCAAATAGCCTCTCTTTCTCCTTCAAGCATAAGCGCTATTGATCTTCACTCTTGAAGACTAAGTAGCAGTAAAAATCCCCAAAATTCCCATACTGTAGTACATGTACCAGAATGCTACATTAGTTTGTTGGAAGTTGTACATGTTCACACAGTTGTCTTCCCCTCTTAAGGCATAATGGGACCCAGGGCCAGCCAAACCCTGTTCCTTGACATAGTACCTTTAAGGAAATAGGTATTCAAGGGAGCAGCAGATCAGCTGGGAAATGGGGCCAGATGTTAATCAGGTAGCTAGTTTTCATGAATTTTGTTTTTATAAAAGCACATTTTAACCACAAAAGCCATATCTTTATCATCAGTTAACAGAAAAGTGTGACACTAAAGTGACCACATGTGTGGTTTGTGAAACTGAAAAATAGTTGTTAAATAGTGGCTACTTAAATTAAGACTAATTTTTATAGTGAATTAGTACCAAAAACATTTTTCTCTACAATGAAGCTGATGATCACATCTTTCAAACCCCAAGATTGAAATAAAAAAAGAAAAACAAACAGAATATTGTGAATCTTTGCTCTGTACAAGAATATGCAAGAAATTGTGCAGATACACAGTATCTTTCTTTCATTCCAAATATGAAAACACAAGCAAAATAACTAAAGTAACTGAATCACAGAAAGTAGAAATGAAGAAAAAAAATTTAACATGTATTTTTAAATATACTAAGGATAGGACAAGTAAAGAACTTAAATTGCAGCGAGGGAGATTTAGGAAAAAATTCCTATCTGTAAGGGCAGTTAAGCACTGGAACAAATTACACTGGTCTACAATTTTTGAGAAGTCGTCTGCTTCAGAGATAAAATGTGCTATTTATTATGTATTTTGATGTGCTGAATTCACATATAACAATTAAAACAACTGATTGGCTACTGTTTCTAAGATATTTAAGTTTTTACATTTTATGTCTATGTATATAGTGTAGATAGTAGAGTTTTAATCATAAATTGTAAACCTAGGTCTTTTCATGTGTTTATGGTTGCTTTACATGATAATATTTCACCTGTCCTGTTTATGTAACACTTTAAAAATCAGCAAAAGGGTTATATAAATAAAATTTATTATGAAACAAAAGGCAAAAAACTATTATGTACATAGTTTAGTCCTATTCAGTGTCTACTCGGCACTTCTTGGCTTGTCTCTTGTATTCATTAAATGGAGCATCTCTTGTCACTGTCCAGCAATAGTCTGCAAGCACTGATGGGCTCCATTTGCCCTGATAGCGTTTCTCCATTGTTGCAATGTCCTGGTGAAATCGCTCGCCGCTCACTGCTCCGCAGTTTGGTGGAAAAAAATCTAGATGAGAGTGCAAAAAATGTATCTTTAGTGACATGTTGCAACCAAGGCTTTTGTATGCCTTGAGGAGGTTTTCCACCAACAACCTGTAGTTGTCTGCCTTGTTGTTTCCGAGAAAATTTATTGCCACTAACTGGAAGGCTTTCCATGCCGTCTTTTCCTTGCCACGCAGTGCATGGTCAAATGCATCATCTTGAAGAAGTTCACGAATCTGAGGACCAACAAAGACACCTTCCTTTATCTTAGCTTCACTTAACCTTGGAAATTTTCCACGGAGGTACTTGAAAGCTGCTTGTGTTTTGTCAATGGCCTTGACAAAGTTCTTCATCAGACCCAGCTTGATGTGTAAGGGTGGTAACAAAATCTTCCTTGATTCAACAAGTGGTGGATGCTGAACACTTTTCCTCCCAGGCTCCAATAACTGTCAGAGTGGCCAATCTTTCTTGATGTAGTGGGAATCTCTTGCACAACTATCCCATTCGCAGAGAAAACAGCACTACTTTGTGTATCCAGTCTGCAGACCAAGCAAGAGAGCAACAACCTTCAAATCGCCACAAAGCTGCCACTGATGTTGGTCATAGTTTATGCACCTCAAAAGTTGTTTCATGTTGTCATAGGTTTCCTTCATATGGATTGCATGACCAACTGGAACTGATGGCAAAACATTGCCATTATGCAGTAAAACAGCTTTAAGACTCGTCTTCGATGAATCAATGAACAGTTTCCACTCATCTGGATCGTGAACGATGTTGAGGGCTGCCATCACACCATCGATGTTGTTGCAGGCTACAAGATCACCTTCCATGAAGAAGAATGGGACAAGCAGCACCACCCTCACTCCCTGTGCCCAGTCTGCATGCCCAGTGCCAGCATGGATGGCCCCACAGCTGAGGTGCTGCTGGCCCTGCTCTGTAGGGAGAAGGACCCATCAAGCCAATATGAGGACAAGGGCTCAGACAAAAAATTTGGGTGGGCAATGGAGCACCCTGTCAAGGCCATATTATGCAATATTACATGCCTATGTGTAGTGAAATGTATTAAGCGTGTAATTATGAGGGCGAGTGATTGCGTAATTCCCTGGGAAGAAGTGGGGTAAGCCTGCTTGACTCTATGCACAGCCCTGTGAAGGAAGGGCTATGAAACCCTTAATCAAGAAGAAGGAATCTGTGGCTCCAAAGTGCAGAAGGAGACCTGTGGGGAAGACAGGGAGAGGGACTGTAGCGAGGCTTGCAGAGTTCCCTGGCTCAGAGGGAACCGGACAGCAATCAGGAACTTGAAGCTTTTGAACAAGAGTGTAATGAGGCTAATGCTACCAAGACTCCCCACCTCTATACTCCTCCCTTCTTACATACGCACTCTCCACCAGAGCTCACATGCACTCAAAGCTCTACCATCAGTCTAACCTCATTAGAGCTGGGCAGGGAACAGTTTTCTTACCTCACAAAATGTTTTATAATTTAAAAAATTTTCCCGTTCTGCATCGGGATAAAACTGAGACCTTTCGAAGTTGATGATTTTTGAGGTTAGGTTTTTTTTCTTTCCTTTTTTTTTTTGGAGGGAGGTGGGGCGGGAAGAACTATTCTGGAGTGGATCTGTCTCAATATTGCCTGTTGGAGCTGTTCCACTTTGTATAGAAGAATATTCACTTAAGTAGGGACTGGAAACTCAGTCTCTCTGTTCTCAGGTGAGTGCCTTAACAACCACACTATAGTGCAGGGTTTCTCAAACTTCATTGCACCGTGACCCTCTTCTGACAACAAAAATTATTACGTGACCTCAGGAGAGGGGACCGAAGCCTGAGCCCAGCTACCCCGGGTGGCAGGGCCAAAGCCCAAGCCCCACCATCCCAGGTGGGGAGGGGGGCCAAAGCCCAAGGGCTTCAGCCCCAGGCAGGGGGCCTGTAACCTGAGTCCCGCCACCCAGGGCTGAAGCCCTTGGGCTTGGGTCCTGGGCGATGGGGCTCGGGCTCTGGCCTTGGCCTCAGCCCTAACAAGTCTGAGCCAGTCCTGGCGACCCCATTAAAACAGGGTAGCGACCCACTTTCTCACAGTTTGAGAACCACAGCTATAGTGGGTCCATCCCCCTGATGGTCCATCCTGGACCTGAGAAACCTTCCCCGTGAAAGTTTTATTGAAACTTATAAGTTCTTGCAGAAAAGTGAAAGAACTTTGACAAAGTAGCACTTTCTGATTAAATAGATTTATTGAAGAATTCTCAACTAATTCTAAACCTCACATCCTCCAAGGTTCCAGTGGGACTCCTCCAGTCAAACTCCCTTCTTTTCTAATTTCCCCCAGGCAGATCTCCACCAGACTCATTCAAATTTTATTTTACTATGAGTCCATAAATATTTAAATTAAGCCTATTAAGACCTAAAATAAATGTGCCCGAAGAAGAAATTTGCATCTGGCACTTCCAACATAATTTCTTTTAAGAACTAATTTTTGTACATGAACTAATAATGTTTGGGAATGGCTGACGCATACACTATTTTAGACCTGGTGGAATGAACCTCAATACCTTCAAGCACTGAAACTTCTGCAAGATCACAGACCTGCATGCGTTCTTCAATCCATTTAGACAACCTCTAAGCAGAAATAATCTCTCTGGATTTATCAGAAATTACAAATAGACCAGAAGATTCAGAGAGACCATAATTCTATCCAAGTATTAAATAAGGGCCTCTTAACACCTAAGCTATGCCATTTATCTTCTCCCAGTACTGAGTGCAGATCTGGGGAAAACACAGGTAATTTAATAGCATGAGTTCCACCAGAACTAAACACCATCTTAGTGAAGACACAGGTTATCCTTATGGCTCTCAGACTCTTTATAATGACGTTCTAGACACTGGCAATCCAATCTTCAAGGAATAGCTTACACAAATATCTTTGCTCTAGATAATCCATTGGCGATTCCATCAGTTTCATGAGCACTAAGTTCAACTCAGCTCCCAAGAAGGTGCTATTCATGCATGGTTGGAAAGAATCTTTTTACTGGAGAATGTACACCAAATTAGATATGGGACAACCTGAAGAATATGGGAAGGAGGTATGAGTTCCTGAAATACCCTCTTGGTCTGAATGTTTGGTATTGCAGGAGAATACAGATGGGCTGGGCATCTCAAGAGTAGAGATCCATAATGACAGAAAATACTTGAAGGAGAAAAAATAAAATAAAATAAAATAAATCCAGAACAGTATACGAGTCTCAAGTTTGTATTTCTGAAGTGTGTAAAATAATTAATTAAAAATATAAAAATGTTAAAGAAAACTAACAAGACACAAAATAAGGTTTTAAGGCATATAAAAATTAGCCTTTTGTTTTCTTTCCATGAAAGTTTTTTCATTTCTGAAAAAGACATTAGGAAAGGTAAAGCATCACTATAAACTAAACTTAATAAAGAGTTTATATAAATAAAAGGGAAACTGGATAAAGGTTCATTTACATTGTTGTAAACTTAAGCTTCATTTTTTGAGATTTAACCAAGTCTATTAAAAGATTTTAAAAATTTAATGATTGAATATACATACCTACTTGTGCGTCCATACTGTTTACTCCTGGCTGTAGAAACAACCAACATGTTATTTTAAAACACTAACAATATATTAAATATGTTACTAAATATCATAATAATCAATTCAAAGAAGCAACTTGTTCAAGTTTTTCCAGCAGCAAAATACTTCATCAGCTTAAATGTGGGTCTCCATCCCCCCCAAGTACAACAATAATCATGGGAATTCCAGCTCTATCAGAAAGTAATTTAGGATAACAAGCTACTTTTCTGAAAGAGCCATACATTCACCAATTAATTTCAATGAATCTCTTGCCAACCTCACAAACAACAGTCCTTCAGCATGCAAATAGAACACTCATCCACAATATACAGTGAAGATGATCATCTAATTCCAATGCTGAAATAACACGAGGGTGTGTTTGTGACTGATACCACCACCTGTGTAATACTTTAAACCTTCATTGATTCAAACAGCAATAGATCAGCTTTCACCCATTGAGAAGAGATGGGCCTTGGGTACATGTCTGAATAAACTTTTTCAGATTTAGGTCAATAAGGACATACTGCAACATCACCACTATGCTTAGTGCAATCACTTAATTTATCCCACACAATTTTTTTGTCAACTTAGTACTAACAGAAAAATGGATTTAACAGTTGATTCACTAAATCTACCCTTGATTATTATTTCTATTAATTATTATACTCCAACAGCTGAGTCCGTTATACTTTTACTAGATTTTCATGGGTACCCAGAGCCTTGATTGGCACTCTTTTACACAGTTAGTGCAAATCTCAAATACAAAGGGGGAAGGAGAGGATTAAAAGGATTTAAGAATTTCTTGACTTCTATCTTTTATGTAAAGCTTTAACAGATACACAAGTTTACCATTTATTGGACTCAATCCTTCAGTTACTTGATTTTTTTCAGGCAGTCTGCACAAGAGATAACTGAACATCTAAATAATAAAGATTAGCAAGGTAGATCCAATAAAAACACCCATACTGGTGCAATCAAGTTCAAGGTTACCCAAATGCTCACTCTGAGGGTAAATGATCTTGCTTAATGCACTGGGGAAAAATTTCAAAAGTACTTAAGTGACATAAAGCAAAAGCCCCTTTTACTATCAATGTGACTAAGGCCCCATGTAACTTAGGCACCTTTGAAAATTGTACCAACTGTATATACACCTCTACCCCGATATAACGCTGTCCTCGGGAGCCAAAAAAAAAATCTTATCGCGTTATAGGTGAAACCGCGTTATATCGAACTTGCTTTGATCCACCCCCCCGGAGCACTGCTTTTCCGCATTATATCCGAATTCGAGTTATATCGGGTCGCGTTACATCGGGGTAGAGGTGTATATTAAACGGCACTATCTAAAGCTCTATTTAATTTGCTGCCCAGGTAAGTAAGCACTCTAAGGATATCCCAACATAGATTGATTTTTTTCATGCTTTGAAAATCTAAAACTAATGATAATTACCAATAAACTGCTTGATAATATGGGAGAGAGTACTCAACTGATTTCCAGACTACATTCAAGCTCAATTTAACTGTACTAGGAAAAAGACTTCCAGCTGTAATTTTTTTATCCAATCAAACTGCCAACACCAGCTGATCTAAAGTGATGCTATGTTGCTATGATGCTGTTTTTTATTTTTCTGAGTAAAACTTCTTTCACTACCTCATTTCTTCTGAATAGTGAATATAGGTGCCCGAAAGAATCCCAAAAAGTGATGGCCTCAATTGGTAACAATTAGTTATATAGAAATAAAAGCTCTTGCTGTACTGCACCTCATGATAATGATTGTTGTTGTAAGACACTGTATAAAGACATGTATATAGGTGTTTTGCAAAAATACCTGCATACAGCATAGACTCTAAGTGCACTGAAGTCAACAAAAAGAAACACATTGGCTTCAGTGAACTTTGAATCAGGCTTTATATTTAGATAAGGCACACTACAGAGAATGGATTTCATAGAGTTATGAAGCTTACGGAAAGCATGACAACTACAAAGCAGATCATATTAGAGAGTCAGTTTAAGGCCAGGCAGGACCACCAGATCATCTAGTCTGACTGCCTGTGTATCACAGGCCACTAAACACCACCCATCCACCCCATTGCTAAGCCCAACAACCAGAATTAGGATAAAATATTACTACTCTCAAGAGACTAAACTATTGTGGGCAATAGGCAGACAACAGGAGAGACCAGAGTGAATCGATGCCCCCTTAAACCCCTGCTACTGCAGCAAAATGATTTAGTATAACATACCCAGATAACCCTAGTAAGTGACCCCTTGCTTGAGAGAAAAGCAACACACCCACTGCCTGCCAAAATGACCTAGGGAAAAATTCCCTCCTGTCCCAAATATGGTAAAGCATGTAAGCAAGACCCAGCTGTCAATCACCTGAGAAAAAAATTCTCATTACCACCATATAGCATGAAAAGGAAATAGTTATCTTAATTAAAATAGAGAATATTGTAGTGTTTAGATTCTGAAATAACATATCCTTAAAAATATCCTTAAACACCATACCATTTGTAAGTTGTACTTAACTGATATTTTATTATTCCTGATCATTTTGTAGTATGAAAGTATTTGTCAGAGCTCCAAAAACCAACTGAAATCATATTTTCATATATTTAAAATTGGATTGAATTTTAGCATACCAGATCTCTTTTTAACCTCTTTTGACCACAGTGCTTTTTAATTTTTTTCCCTGAGATCTTTGAAATTCCTCCAAAGTTTATAATGGGCAATCCATCTTAGAAATCCATAATCAACTTAATATGAAAGAAATCAATGAGATTTCTGTCATTGGCATCTTTTACGAGATTTAATGAATTAAAATTGTTTCACTATTTTGCTGTGTATTTTTAATGTGAAAATCATGATGAGTACTAAACACCTTATTTTTTTTAAAAGTTACAATAGATGTACAAAGAGAAAGTGCTTGGCGTTATAAAAAAAATCAATAGTTACATGCGATATTGAAATCTGGGTAGAGAGATAATATTTTGCATGTTAAGGAAGTAATTAGATTAAATACAGATCACTCCTCCATTAAGGTGCAAGTGGCTGCTTTTGTGTGAGTCTTCTGAAGCTTTATTCAAATACTGACCTCTTCTTCACGGAATTTTATACACAAAGGAGGACATTTTTATCATCATTTTATATAAGTTCAAAAGCTTGACTAGACTTTATGAAATGCTGGTAATAGTGTTCACATAAGGTAAGGTAGTTTAAAAAGTGAAAAAGACAGGTTTTAAAGATTACCGGTACAGTAGGCTGCATATGCGCTTGAGACATATGAGACATCATCATTCCAGGCATCATTGACTGCATCATTCCAGGCATCTACAATTAAAATGTTATTGTAGAGTGTACTTGAGAAAATATATAGCACCAAGTATGAACTTTTTATGATAGTGTACCAGTCTCTAACAACTTATTCTATTTGATAAACAAGTTTCATAATCTCCCAGGACACAAGGAAGTGTAACAGAAGTTTGTACAAGTCTACATAAAACTAGCAACAATGTTAAGTTTGGAAATAGCTAGATTTTCCACAAATCCACTCCAACAGACTCCCCAATTTAAAGGGAAGATGAGCATACATTTCAACTTAGCTCTGAAATATTAGAAGAAAGCTAAGACATTTATTGTAGACAGCACTATTTGGATTACATGAGAATCAATAACAAATGACAAGATGAGTAATCTATTGATAATGCTGTGCCCTGTCATAATAGGAATCCTAGGCTAGAACAGGGAACATAGAAGGAAAGATTTCTCAGAAAATCTGGGAGCCACCAAACAACAAAATTGGTTAAGTATCACAAATGCTAATTCAGACTCTAAGATTGGTCCCCTCTGTGATCTTCCACAACTCTCTTAACTTTGATGCCTTCTTTCCCTTGTCAGCTAACAGGAGTAATACTTGAGGTAACTGCCTCACAGTAGTGTTCTAAGAATTAATGTTTGCCAAGATCTTTCAAGATGAATAGTGCTATTAAAGAGTTAAGTAGCAAGAGCGAAGAGTTCTCAACCAGTTCTTGAATGGTTATAAACATCTAAAAAACCATGTAACATGAATGCAAACCATGTAAGCTACTTTTAAACCACGCTACTTCCCTTAAAACAATTTGAACATGGTAATGTGGACTGGCTATTACAATTTGTTAAAATTTGAGTCCAGATCTATGTACTGTCTGATGAAACAATGACCCAGCTTTTTACTTTGAGAAGCTAATTTTTGTCTGGGAGTATATGCTTAGACTATTTTGAAGAGGCAGTAACCACAGCAAATTTATATAGATAAGTTACTTGTTAGTGACCAACTGATGAACTATAAAGCGGTTTAAAATTTTTCTTAAAAGATTTCCTTCATAATTTGCACTTTTCCCAGTTTTCCACTAGTTCTCGCTATTAAGAACTGATAAGCCATAAATAAATGTGGCAAAGAGCACAAATAATAGTGCTGTGCTAATCTGATCATATTCAGCTGATGAAATTTTGGTCACTCAGTCCCCAAAGAGGCCTTGGGAAGTCAACCCCTTTATGTTTCAGTCATCCCCCATTACCTTTATAGACTTTGGCAGGCTGGCCAAGTGACCCCATCCCCCTGTATCTTCAGGGAGCATCAGATTACCACTCCCCTCATCTTGCATCTTGTGTGGAGAGAGGGATATTTGGTAGGGCTACTGCTCCACCCTCAATCCACAAGGTTTTCTTGGGAGGGTGAGGAAGAAAGGAAAAGTTGGAAGGCGGCCCTCCTATTCCTCGTCATCCTGTAGAAGCAGGAGAAGAAAGCACTCTTGCCCCACTGCTACTTCCAACTAAGTGGGATCTGAACATGTGAAGTTTCCTAGAAGCCCTTGCACAAGTACTTACAGGAATCTCAAGCATTCCTTATTGCTCTGAACTCTCTCTCTGTAGCTAGAAAAACCGTAGCTTTTTGAGATAATACTGCAGTTATTCTCAGGCCCAAAGCCTTTGCAGATTTAAGGTTACAAAAAAGACCAATTATTTTCAGCCCCGGGAGATTTTCTTGTGAATTAAGTAGGGCAGCAGTCCTAGAGTGGCACTCAAAGACACAAAAAGTAGCAACAGCCTTGTCCCAACAAGGCACCTGAGAATCAAGGTTACAACCTCCAGACTGTCCCCTCCCAAAATGCTTCAGAGATAAGTAGAAGAACTTGTATTTGCTAGGGGAATGGTCCTAGCATCCAAGGAGATGGGCCAATAGACTGACATTTTGCAGTCTAGTAGATTTAGAGTCAGAATACCAGCCTACTGGCCCATTCTTATTGGCCATATAGTCATTAAATCTAACCTCCCCTCATTTACTTTCCCTTCCCCATCCCCTCATGAGCCTTTTCTTCCACAATGTCTGCCAGAAACTTGCTGACTAAGTTATCTACTTACTTTTTTCATTTATTACACTATCTGGGAACTGCTCATTACATGGACAGAAGGGGAAAGATGATGGATGAAGGGGACACAAGGGCAATGGGACTCTGGCTGAAAACGTTTGGGTAAGAGACAACAAGGGGATTGACTAGTGTGTTTATTATTTAAAAAAAAAAATGCTCATAATTGGTAAGACATGTTCCTATGATCAACCTAATCACTTTGTTTTCACATTGCATCACCCCACCTCCATCTGCCTTTGTCTTTTTAAACTGCATTACCCTATCCAATGTAACAGACTGTCATACTGTGTATTGCAGCATGAAAAATGTATCAGACACCCTTCAGGCCTACATCTACTAATAGTGTAGGTGAGCCACCCTCCAGGCATTAAGATTCAGGGGTTGCCCCAATACTCTGGGAAGGGGGGTGATGGAATGCCTACCATGGCGCTGTCCCTGGACCTTTCGCAGGAGGCTCCATCTTTCATACCGGCTTCCTTCTAGTAGGCGTCTTGTAATTTTGAATCTGCTTTAGCTTCCTCACAATGTTCGCAGGAAGGGTGTCCCCCCACCTTTCCACCCCTCAGTCTTGTCAATTTGACTCTGCTTTTGTTTAGGAAAGCCAGGATCACCAGAAGCAACACTAGAGATTTCTGCATATTCAGGAAGGGAACTGCCCCATTTCAAATTCAGAACTTACTTAATAAGGGACAGGACCTTTCATTGTTAAAAATAGAAAGCTTACAATATATACAAATGTATAGGCATCTTTACTTGCCAACAACATTTTATACTTGCCACTGAGTGTCCAAGTTTATTTTTCAAGACATGCATCATGTTGACAACAGGGCAAAAATAACAGTATGTTACAGAAGTGTAAAATAGCACCAAAGAATTTTACATTTCTTCCCTCCATCTCCTGTAATTTTCTTCTATCCGTGGTTATAAGACTTTCTTAGCACAGAGTAAAAGAAACCAATTTTCCAGCTTCAACATTATCACACTACAGTCTCTTGCTAGAATTAAAGGGGAGGTTTTTTTGTTTGTTTTCAGGATTTTTGGTTTTTAGAACTACACACTGCTAGATGCAACTTATTTGTCCTGAAAGACTAACAGAATACTGTCTAACCTAACAATAGCAAAAGTTATGAATTCAAGTACCGGATCTTTTCATTTTAAATTTTGAAATCACAAGACAATTTCGTTATTTTTGTTACAAATGTACTTTCTGCATTACCAATGGATGATGCTATAGAAACACTACATTTTAATGACTATTAACATTATTATTTCCAAGCAACTCTGGGAGACTTACCTGTCTTTAGAATTCTCTCAGATCATTGTTGGGGGGTGGGGGAGGGGGTGGTGGGGTGGACAACACAGATAAGCTGCCTTACCTGCCCCATTGGTGGTCCTCCCATTGGAGGCATCATCTGAGGCATCATTCCATGTGGAACTGGTGGCATATTCGGTGGTCTCTGGCCCATTGGGTGCATTCCCATAGGTGGATAATGCGGCATGCCTGGGTGCCCCATCTGAAAAACAATGTTAATAAACGAAGACATTAACATCAAAGCACAAACTGTAGAAATGTAATAACAAAGAATAGGTGCACGATAAACATGCCATTACAGAAGGAATTTGGTCATTTATCTATCTTATCTTCTGATGGATGAAGGAAAATGAAGGATGAAGGACCTTTCAAGGTCCCTTCCAGTTCTAGGAGAAAGGATATCTCCATTATTTTTTATTTATTTATTTAAAATACAGAGAAAATTAACTACATCAAAATGCTTAAATGTTCATGACATAGCTCTAAAACAGACCAGAGTCTAGAAGAGTGGACAACTAAAGATTGTCAGAAATTGTTAATATAAATGAAGTTAGCGAATGTACTTAAAAATTCCAGTAGAATACAGAGAAAAAACCTGGAAAACTCCCTCAATGTGTAAATATAACACAAAGGCCCAATACACCTACAGATGCAAACGTTTTCATATGCCATTCCATCTGACTACATTTAATGGAAGTATACACAGGCAGGGAAAAAAGAAACAGATCTTTTCCTTTCTACATTTATGTTTACTGTCATGTCAATGCTGCTGCTCGTAGATTAGCTCCAGTAAATTTTCTCTATATCTTTTCTACAAAAAATCTATATCATACATTAAACTTTTTATGGCCAAAAACACTTTTCTTCTTAGAATAAATAATAGTTCTAAAGGAAGATTAGCTCTACTAAAAATTAGTGAAAAAGTAGCCTACTGCTGAATCTATAATTAGCAAGGTAATACTACTGGCACTAGGAGACCCAGGGTTAGGAGAGAATTGTGATCTACAAGAATGTGAAACAGTATGGAAGTTCACTTTGTACAGGGCACTTTCCTCCATAGTGATTTATCCATCAAATTATTAGCATGTTCATCAAAAGATGTCAAAGTAACAAGTAAACAACTGATAAACTCAAAACCTTAAAAGAAAGTAGAATAGACACAGAAAAGGCATATCTGTACAGATCAGAATATGGTCAGTGATCAAATTTTCTCCATCTTACCACAGAAGTACATTTTAAAAGATTGATCTTGTACTGATCCACCATAGTTATTTTGGCTTTAAAGCAAAAGTGACACCGAATAATTAAAATAGCAATTTTCAGTATTTTTGTCAGCGGACGGTAACTTTTTAAATCTCTTTTTAGTTACGTAAAACAAATAAAGAGACACATATCTCCATTGTGATTTCTTCCTCCAATAATATTGAAGACCCTGGTTAAATTGAAAGAATAACCAGACAGCTTCTCCATTATTTTTGTACTTGAATTTCAATGGGTCCTTGCAGATCCTCTTGAATGTGGAAAGCTATGGTTTATGGAAATATGAAAGGTTTTAAAATACTGAAAAATGATTTAGATAAGTTAAAAATCAAACCACTGATGACTATCCTGCAAAAGTCTCCCTATTTCAATATATCAACATTAGCTTAGCTACCAATATAACATCAACTAGTATTGTAAAATATAATTGTACTTTTCTCTGCTTATCATACTTATTGTGCTGGAATATATGGAATATTATTATCCCACCAGGATAATAAAACTGAGAGAGTAACTTGAAAATTTTAGGTTAGTAGAAAAGCACATAAACTGCACATTTAGGAAGTAACACAAAGTACTTTTTAAACTCCTGAGCAAGTTTAGATCTCGCAGTAGAAACAGCAACTTACTCATTTCTTTAACTCCAGATGTTATACAAATAATCAATGGGTGGAGAGACAAAGTCTGCCCAGTTCCCTCCTCACACCCCTAGATAGGCAAGAACAGTTATCCTTTCTGATCTCAGGCCATTTTCCTCCCCTTTTTCTCCCAGGTGTAACTACCAACCAGTTGCCCCCAGACCTACAAGCCCTTCTCTCAGTTTCACTGTGATGAGAACATCACATCCCAGCAATAACACTGCACTTGCCACGCTCTCCGAGGATCTCACATAGGCCAGCTCTCTTTGCAGTACTGACTACAGAAACAAACATTCTCCATGGACTCCTAATCCTAGAGGCCCAAGGCAGAAATGCAGGGACGCAAACTACATTCAGAACTCTGCCTCAGTCAGCTCCTGAAGGGCACGTGGCATTTTTCACAAAAGAAAGTGCTAGAGTCCCTGCCCCAAAGAGCTTACAGTCTAAGAGGACCTTAGTGGGAGAACAAGCCAGCCCCACAAAGGGACAGAGGACCCTTCTCTCTCCAACTCCAATAGGAGCCATTAGTGCATTAGCCACGTGAATGGCTCAGGCTGCACTAGTCCTATTGTGGCTGACCCTGTAACCCCCTTGAAGGGGCTTCTAAGAAAGGCCTGAGAGGATGCCACCAGACTCTTACTGATCTGGGTTCCCTTCTGGCTCTAGCCCAGGCTCCCAGGAAAGGGAGCAGAGCTGTTCCCATGGTGTTACACGCCCACAGAGGTGCCCCCCCCACCTTGCGGCCGGGGGCGCCCCCCCCCCCCCCCCCCCCCCCCGACGCTGCCAAGCAGGTCCCCGCCCCCTCCCCTCTGCAGCGTTTAACCCTTCACTTACCATGAGGGATCCTCTATCCACTCCGCCCGGCCTCATCGAGGGGTTCAGGAGGCCCCCCCCGCCACACCTGCCAAGAAGCCTCCCTCTAAGTTGCTGCCGCGACGAGGGGCCAAAGGGCATTAGAGGCTCGGGCTCACCGCGGGGCGGGAGCAGCGGGGCCAGGAGGCTGACAGGCTTCCCACCCGGCCAATCCGGGCGGCCTCCCAACCGGGAACTCTTCGGCGATTGGTCCGCAGCGGAGGCAACGGGGCGGACGGCGTCCCCCGGCGTCAGCTGCATGAGGGGAGGGGGCTTCGGCAAGGAGAAGGGGAGCGGCTGAGGGGAGGCCGCAGCAGCCGCCGAGTCCCCGCCCGACATCGCGACCCCCGGCCCAGCCCGGTACACGGATGGACGCGCGGAGTCTCCCCCGGAAGCCGTACACGAAACCGTTAGCGGCGTCCGGCAGGCAGGAACGAGGGGACCCTGGCCGGGATCGTGCGCCTAAAGAGGCCCAGCTCCGCGGGGAGCGGGAGAGAAAGGGGTCGCGCCGGAATCGGGCGCGCGAGGGGGGGCGCGCCAGACGAGGGAACGCGCACAGCTAGAGGGAGGAGGAAGAAAGGGCGGTCGAGCGCTCTGGGGGCCGTCGCTCACTGGGGGAGAGGACGCGCGAGGGTTGCTCGCGCTGGCCTCCGGAGCTCGCGAGGGGGAAGAAACTGCGGCGGGGGGAACGAGTGGAGGGAACGCTGGGAAATGGGTCACGTGGGTGATGCAGGCGGGGCTAAGGAAGCTAGAAGGAACTACTGACACCTAAGGAGGGGGACGAGAAGCGCGCTTTCCTTAGTCTCCTATCAATGATACTCGTGCGCGGTCCTCAACCACCCCTCGGGGGCGAGTTGGTAGGTGCCTCGTTACAGACGTTATCTTGTCTTCCCCTTCGTTGACATGAGTTGGTACGTGCCGCGTTCAGTCTTTTCTAGTCTGTTCCGGGTCAGCAGTTCTTGCTAGTCTCTCCTAGCCGCCCCTCCGCGCAGTCTGGTTGGTAGCTGCCTGGTGACGCAAGAGAAGTAGGCGTCAACTTGGGAAACCCCGCCTCGGGCTGAGTCTGAGCCTGTGGCCCGAGTTTCGCGCCTCCCGGCCGGGCGGCTTCCAGGCTCCGCCATGTCCCTGGCTGTGGGGGACAGCGGGCGGATGGGCAGGTTCAGCAGGCGGGGGGCGACCCCCGGGACGCCCTGGTTGGGGGGCGGAGTGGTGGCTCGGAGTCTGCAGGCCGACCTGCTGCAGGAGGAGGAGGCAGTGAGCGGTGTCTCTGTGTCCCAGGGCGGGGCCCCGTTGCCGCCGCTGTCCTACAAGCGGAATGGCGTGTTGATGGCTCCGTCGGGGGGGAAACGTTGGCCGGCCCGGGCCTGCTCGATGCTGTGCTGCCTCCTGGCCGTCTCCGCCCTCGCCTTCCTCCTGGCCATCGCTTGCCTCGTGCTCAAAGGTGAGGGGACCGCTTTTGCCCGCGACCCGAGGTCCCTGCCCTTGCAGGACTCGTGAGTTGGGGGGATCGGTCCCGCTTGCAGCCGGGGTCTCTCCCCCGGCCACGGAGGGGGTCGTTTCGGTGAGGTGGGGATTAAACCCAGGTCCTGCCAGTCCGAGCCCAGCGCTGCGGCTGCCGTGGTGTAGGGCGCGGGCCTGGCAGAGAGGCAGGAGTGTAGCGCTGGGATAGTAACTGTCCCTCTTTAAGGACAGACTACTTAGAGAACCGGCAGTGATGTCCATACCCTTTGCTGGGTAGGTGCGGCACAGTGAACACCTGCTGGTGTTTTCTGAAACTGCTGTTTCATAACTGATTCCTCCCTCTGTAGATTTGCGCTCTGAGAAAGAGAAGAATGAAGATGGTATGGAAACTGGCTTGCTAGGTATGCATTCATATGGTTCTTTCAGTGCTTCTGCAGTTCAAAGGAGGCTAAAAAACACCTTGTCTTAAATAACAAGGGAGGAGGGATAGCTCAGGGGTTTGAGCATTGGCCTGCTAGTTCAATCCTTGAGGGGGCCACTCAGGGATCTGGGGCAAAATCAGTACTTGGTCCTGCTAGTGAAGGCAGGGGGCTGGACTCGATGACCTTTCAAGGTCCCTTCCAGTTCTAGGAGATAGGATATTTGTGTATACTGTATGTGTGTATATATATCTCCTCAATATATGTTTCACTCAATATGCATCCGAAGAAGTGGGTTGTAGCCCACGAAAGCTTATGCTCTAATAAATTTGTTAGTCTCTAAGGTGCCACAAGTACTCCTGTTCTTTTTGCGGATACAGACTAACACGGCTGCTACTCTGAAACCTGTCATTTGGTAGATACTTTCTTCAGAGGAAGTTGAGAATTTACTGTCATAACAAGCCGAAAATGATATGCAGTGCATGCATGTATCTTGTCCTTTATTCTTAAGACCATAACTAGGGCCCTACCAAATTCAGGGTCCATTTTGGTCAATTTCATGGCCATAGGATTTCAAAAATTTCATGATTTCAGCCAGTTAAACCTGAAATTTCACTGTGTTGTAATTGTTGGGATCCTGACCCAAAAAGCAGTTGAGGGGAGGTTGCAAGGTTATTGGGGGTGGGTGTTGTGGTACTGCTACCCTTACTTCTGCGCTGTTGCCTGCAGAGCTGGGCCCTAAGTTAGCTGCCACCACTCTCCGGCCACTCGGCCCTGAAGGCAGCACAGAAGTAAGGGTGACAATGCCCTAAAATAACTTTGTGACCCCCCCCAACTTCCTTTTGGGTCAGGGATCCCCAATTTGAGAAACGCTGGTCTCCCCCATGAAATCTGTGTAGTATAGAGTAAAAGCACACAAAAGACCCGATTTCATGGTCCGTGAATTTGGTAGGGCCCTAAACATAACATAAGAATGGCCATGCAATAGAACTTCAGAGTTACGGATACCTCGGGAATGGAGGTTATTCGTAACTCTGAAATGTGCCGTAACTCTGAACAAGATGTTACGGGCTTCAACAGGGGGAGGGTTGGGGGTTGCAGCCGCAAGGTGCGGGGGTGGTCAGGGCTCTGGGCAGGGTTTGGGGCTTCTGAGCCCTGGTGCTCCTGTGGAGCAGGGCCTTAGACCTGGGAGGAGTGCTGGGGCTTGGGGCTGAAACCAGCGCTCCTCTTGTAGCTAGAATCTCGGCGCTCTCCCTGGGTCTAAAGCCTGGAGCTAGTCTAAAAACATAGAGCAATTTTAGATTGAGTTTAAATCACTTAACTTTCACTTTTGCAAAGGTTTCTGCTCAGTTTTTTTTTTTATTGGTACACAGAACTATAGATAACAATCAAATGGTATATGGAGAGGTGGTGTAACCATGTTGGTCCCGGGATATTAGAGAGACAAGTGGTGAGGTAATATCTTTTATTGGGCCAACTTCTTTTGGTGTGAGAGAGACACGCTTTTGAGCTGACACAGAAAAGATAGATCATGCCAAACCATCCTGATCTCCTTCTTTGAGAAGGTAACAGATTTTTTTTAGACAAAGGAAACACAGTGGATCTAATTTACCTCAATTTCAGTAAGGCATTTGATATGGTTCCACATGGAGAATTATTAGTTAAATTGGAAAAGATGGGGATCAATATGAAAATTGAAAGGTGGATAAGGAACTGGTTAAAGGGGAGACTACAACTGGTCATACTGAAAGGTGAACTGTCAGGCTGGAGGGAGGTTACTAGTGGAGTTCCTCAGGGATCAGTTTTGGGACCAATCTTATTTAATCTTTTTATTACTGACCAGGGCACAAAAAGTGGTAGTGTGCTAATAAAGTTTGCGGATAACACAAAGCTGGGAGGTATTGCCAATACAGAGAAGGACCGGGATATCATACAGGAAGATCTGGATGACCTTGTAAACTGGAGTAACTGAAATTTAATAGTGAAAAGTGCAAGGTCATGCATTTAGGGATTAATAACAAGAATTTTTGTTATAAGATGGGGACACTTCCAACTGATGAAACAGAGGAGGAGAAGGACCTCGGAGTATTGGTTGATCACAGGATGACTCTGAGCTGCCAATGCGATATGGCCATGAAAAAAGCTAATGTGGTCTTGGGATGCATCAGGCGAGGTATTTCCAGTAGAGATAAGGAGGTGTTAGTACTGTTATACAAGGCACTGGTGAGACCTCATCTGGAATACTTTGTGCATTTCTGGTCTCCCATGTTTAAGAAGGATGAATTCAAACTGGAACAGGTACAGAGAAGGACTACTAGGATGATCTGAGGAATGGAAAACTTGTCTTATGAAAGGAGGCTCAAATATATCAGAGGAATGAATACTAGGGAGGGAGAGGAATTCTTTAAGCTCAGTACCAATGTGGACTCAAGAACAAATGGATATAAACTGGCCATCAGGAAGATTAGACTTGAAATTAGATGAAGGTTTCTAACCATCAGAGGAGTCAAGTTCTGGAACAGCCTTCAGAGGGGAGCAGTGGGGGCAAAAGACATATCTGGCTTCAAGACTAAGCTTGATAAGTTTATGGAGGGGATGGTATGATGGGATAGCCTAATTTTGGCAATTAATTGATCTTTGACTATTAGTAGTAAATATGCCCAATGGCCTGTGATGGGATGTTAGATGGGGTGGGATCTGAGTTACTACAGAGAATTCTTTCCTGGGTGTCTGTCTGGTGAGTCTTGCCCACATGCTCAGGGTTTAGCTGATCGCCATATTTGGGGTCGGGAAGGAATTTTCCTCCAGGGCAGATTGGCAGAGGCCCTGGGGGGTTTTCGCCGCCTTCTGCGGCATGGGTCACTTGCTGGAGGATTCTCTGCACCTTGAAGTCTTTAAAACATGATTTGAGGATTTCAGCAGCTCAGACATAGGTTAGGGGTTTGTTGCGGGAGTGGGTGGGTGAAATTCTGTGGCCTGCGTTGTGCAGGAGGTCGGACTAGATAGATGATCATAATGGTCCCTTCTGGCCTTAAGGTCTATGACTCTTCTTCAGGTGAAGAGCTCTGTGTAAGCTCAAAAGCTTCTCTCTGACACAGCAACAAAAGTTGGTCCATTAAAAGATATTACCTCACCCACCTTGTCTCTTTAAACGGTATATGGTTAAGATAAAAAGAACTAGAAATGTATCATTTTGTTTCAGGGGTGTAGAACATTTTGTGCTATATTGCAACATTGTGTTCTGTAGAAAATCTTCTGAAATTTAGTGTTAAACTTATAGCAACTTTTCTTTATTCCCCGTGAAGGATTTTGGGGTCTGTTTGTTCTAGCCTTGATGACAGGGCTCTCATGCTGCAGCTTTTCTTGGACGGTGACTTATTTTGATTCCTTTGAACCAGGAATGTTTCCTCCGACTCCACTTTCACCTGCACGATTCAAGTAAGTACTTATTAAAAAATAAATGTAATTGCAAGGATTGGATTGGCAGCCTAACTAGTCACAAGACACAATAGATACAATATGAGCAGTGGCTGTACAAGTTTCATGTTGCTCTGTTAGTGTGCCTTAACTGATCTGGAGGACACAGGAACTGGCAGTTAAATCAGTGCAAGCACTTCTGGTGAGGACATGCACCACTG